ATGGTGACAACGATGTAGACCAGGGTTCTTCTATTCCGGTCCTGGAGGGCCGAAACACTTCTGTTTTTTATTTCTACCTGGTAGTTAATTGCACTCACCTGGTGTCCCAGGTCTGAATTAGCCCCTGATTAGAAGGAGAGGATGAAAAACAGAGGTGTTTCGGCCCTCCAGGACCGGAATTGAAGAACCCTGATGTAGACTGTCTGTAGTGGTTAGCGGTTTTGATATGAAGGTTTGGCTTGGAAAGGTTTTTTCGCCTGGTCACAGACATCTGATTTGTTGTGAATATATTTAGTATAGTTTATTCTAAAAAGGATAACTTTTTTTATGTTTCACAATTTCTATTTGTATGAAATTCACTGAGGAGAATGGTCCTCCCCTTCCTCCTCTGAAGGGCCTCCACTGCTACAAGCCCAATGTTCATCAAAGCACAGCTCCCCCGCCAAGACCTGCCTGCACTCTCGGCTCCGCCTTGTATACAGTGCATTCGGAACATATTCAGACCCCTTGACTTTTTCCACATTTTGTTATGTTACAGCCTTATTCTAAAATGGATTAAATAGTTTTTCCCCCTCATCAATCTACACACATTACCCCATAATGACAAAGCAAAAACACATTTGTAGAAATGTTTGCAAATGTATTAAAAATAAAAAACTTAAATATAACATTTACATAAGTATTCAGACCCTTTACTTTGTTGAAGCACCTTTGGCAGCGATTACAGCCTCGAGTCTTCTTGGGTATGACGCTACAAGCTTGGCACACCTGTATTTGGGGAGTTTCTCCCATTCTTACAGTGGGGAGAACAAGTATTTGATACACTGCCGATTTTGCAGGTTTTCCTACTCACAAAGCATGTAGAGTTCTGTAATTTTTATCATAGGTACACTTCAACTGTGAGAGACGGAATCTACAACAAAAATCCAGAAAATCACATTGTATGATTTTTAAGTAATTAATTTGCATTTTATTGCATGACATAAGTATTTGATCACCTACCAACCAGTAAGAATTCCAGCTCTCACAGACCTGTTAGTTTTTCTTTAAGAAGCCCTCCTGTTCTCCACTCATTACCTGTATTAACTGCACCTGTTTGAACTCGTTACCTGTATAAAAGACACCTGTCCACACACTCAATCAAACAGACTCCAACCTCTCCACAATGGCCAAGACCAGAGAGCTGTGTAAGGACATCAGGGATAAAATTGTAGACCTGCACAAGGCTGGGATGGGCTACAGGACAATAGGCAAGCAGCTTGGTGAGAAGGCAACAACTGTTGGCGCAATTATTAGAAAATGGAAGAAGTTCAAGATGACGGTCAATCACCCTCGGTCTGGGGCTCCATGCAAGATCTCACCTCGTGGGGCATCAATGATCATAAGGAAGGTGAGGGATCAGCCCAGAACTACAGGGCAGGACCTGGTCAATGACCTGAAGAGTGCTGGGACCACAGTCTCAAAGAAAACCATTAGTAACACACTACGCCGTCATGGATTAAAATCCTGCAGCGCACGCAAGGTCCCCCTGCTCAAGCCAGCGCATGTCCAGGCCCGTCTGAAGTTTGCCATTGACCATCTGGATGATCCAGAATGGGAGAAGGTCATGTAGTCTGATGAGACAAAAATAGAGCTTTTTGGTCTAAACTCCACTCGCCGTGTTTGGAGGAAGAAGAAGGATGAGTACAACCCCAAGAACACCATCCCAACCGTGAAGCATGGCAGTGGAAACATCATTCTTTGGGGATGCTTTTCTGCAAAGGGGACAGGACGACTGCACCGTATTGAGGGGAGGATGGATGGGGCCATGTATCGCGAGATCTTGGCCAACAACCTCCTTCCCTCAGTAAGACCATTGAAGATGGGTCGTGGCTGGGTCTTCCAGCATGACAATGACCCGAAACACACAGCCAGGGCAACTAAGGAGTGGCTCTGTAAGAAGCATCTCAAGGTCCTGGAGTGGCCTAGCCAGTCTCCAGACCTGAACCCAAAATAAAATCTTTGGAGGGAGCTGAAAATCCGTATTGCCCAGCGACAGCCCCGAAACCTGAAGGATCTGGAGAAGGTCTGAATGGAGGAGTGGGCCAAAATCCCTGCTGCAGTGTGTGCAAACCTGGTCAAGACCTACAGGAAACGTATGATCTCTGTAATTGCAAACAAAGGTTTCTGTACGAAATATTAAGTTCTGCTTTTGTGATGTATCAAATACTTATGTCATGCAATAAAATGCAAATTAATTACTTAAAAATCATACAATTTGATTTTCTGGATTTTTGTTTTAGATTCCGTCTCTTACAGTTGAAGTGTACCTATGATAAAAATTAAAGACCTCTACATGCTTTGTAAATAGGAAAACCTGCAAGATCGGCAGTGTATCAAATACTTGTTCTCCCCACTGTATTTACAGATCCTCTCAAGCTCTGTCAGGTTGGATGGCGAGCGTTGCTGCACAGCTATTTTCAGGTCTCTCCAGAGATGTTAGATCGGGTTCAAGTCCGGGCTCTGGCTGGGCCCCTCAAGGACATTCAGAGACTTGTCCCAAAGCCACTCCTGCGTTGTCTTGGCTGTGTGCTTAGGGTCGTTGTCCTGTCGGAAGGTGAACCTTCGCCCCAGTCTGAGGTCCTGAGCGCTCTGGAGCAGGTTTTCATCAAGGATCCCTCTGTACTTTGCTCCGTTTCACCTATCCCTCAATCCTGACTAGTCTCCCAGTCCCTGCCGCTGAAAAACATCCCCACAGCATGATGCTGCCACCACCATGCTTCACCGTAGGGATGGTGCCAGGTTTCCTCCAGATGTGACTCTTTGGCCTGAATGCCAAGCGTTCTGGTTTCATCAGACCAGAGAATCTTGTTTCTCTTGGTCAGAGTCCTTTAGGTGCCTTTTGGCAAACTCCAAGCAGGCTGTCATGCACCTTTTACTGAGGAGTGGCTTCCATCTGGCCACTCTACCATAAAGGCCTGATTGGTGGAGTGCTGCGGAGATGGTTGTCCTTCAGGAAGGTTCTCACATCTCCACAGAGGAACTCTGGAGCTCTGTCAGAGTGACCAACGGGTTCTTGGTCATCTCCCTGACCAAGGCCCTTCTCCCCAGATTGCTCAGTTTGGCCGGGCGGCCAGCTCTAGGATATGTCTTGGTGGTTCCAAACTTCTTCCACTTAAGAATGATGGAGGCCACTGTGTTCTTGGGGATCTTCAATGCTGCAGAATTTTTTGGGACCCTTCCTCAGAGCTGTACCTTGACACAATCCTGTCTCGGAGGTCTACGGACAATTCCTTCAACCTCATGGTTTGGTATTTGCTCTGACATGCACTGTCAACTGTGGGACCTTATAGACAGGTGTGTGCCTTTCCAAATCATGTCCAATCAATTGAATTTACCACAGGTGGACTCCAATTAAGTTGTAGAAACACCTCAATGATGATCAATGGAAACAGGATGCACCTAAGCTCACTTTTGAGTCTCATAGCAAAGGGTCTGAATACTTATGTAAATAAGGTATGTTTTTTATTTTTTATAAATTATTAAAAAATCTCTAAAAACCAGTTTTCGCTTTGTCGTTATGGGGTATTGTGTGTAGATTGATGAGGATTATTATTTTTTAATTCCATTTTAGAAAAAGGCTGTAACGTAACAAAATGTGGTCTGAATACTTTCCGAATGCACTGTAAATGAGCCTGTAAATACCCTCAGCTTTTATGAGTAATATTCTACCCTTCAGCGATAAAAGCCTTTGTAAACGATGATTGTTTCTTTTGAGTTCTCTCTATAAAACGGGATTAAAGTTCAGAAAACATCTAGCTTTTAGATTTTTAGTTATCGTAATTCCCAGATAAGTGAATCCTTAGATTGAGGGCATATCACAGTTTTTTACTGGCAACAGTTCACATTTATGTTCAACCCAAGACCAGAATGTTTTAGGGGCTATTTAACTCTAACTCTACGAGGTCCGAAGCCTGCTGGTTTTCTGTTCTACCAGATACTTAATTGCACACACCTGGTGTCCCAGGTCTAAATCAGTCCCTGATTAGATGGTAACAATGAAAAAATGCAGCGGAACTGGTTGAGGTCCAGAGTTGAGTTTGAGGGCTTTAAAGAATGAATGAATCACATTAAGTGCAATTGGAATCTGAGAGGAATACTTTAAAAAGAGGGTGGTGTCATCCTCTGACTAATAATGATCTCCCTGTTTGCAATAGAAATACCCTTTAAAACACTTGTCTTAATATGAGAAGTAAGAAGCTGTGTGGCTAATAGGAAGAGATAAGGTGAAATTGGACACACTTGTCTGATACCCCGCATGAATTCAAACCTTGGAGAGGTACCTGCTTTCAATTTGATAGAGCTATTACCATTTGTATACAGAGTTTAACAGTTTTACAAAATAAATCTCCAAAGCCAATTTTTTTAAGGGCATGAACAATAAAGTAATGTTCTACTGTATCAAAGGCTTTATAAAAATCCCAAAAGAGTATTAAACTCTCATCGGAGACCAAATCTGAGTGATCTATGATATGCAATACCAGTCTGACATTATTTGAGATGTGTCTATTTCTCAATCAATTAGTCTCCACTCCACAACATAATAGGTCATACATTTTGGCACCAGGCTTGTCCATATCTGGTTTTAATGTCTATTCTATGGTCCATATAGCCTCCCATGCCGGAACCTGTGTGCCTATATGAATATCCGCCATCAGATGGCAGTGTTACACAAAATTTACCCTTTAAACAAATGAATGAAAAAGTCAAGTGATCAAATCAAGCAGCTGATGTAAATGAGCTTATAGACAAATCATCAGCTGCATTTACATGGACTTATAGTAATGTTGTAATGATGCCAGGGTATGGTATCATTTACAATTAGGAATTTTGTAATGGCATTATTAATATCACGGATTAAATGACCATTTGAATAGTTGTTCACAGTTCTAAACCATAACAAATGTATTTATTTTTAACAGAAATACAAAATGTATCACCTTTTGTGATAGCTTATATATGTCTATATGATATAATGTACAGTAAGTATAAAAATCAGAACCATATTTGGAAGTAGCAATAGCAGACCAACTACAATGTAAACAGTCCATATATAGGCTATGTGCATATATGACGCCTGCGCCAAAATAAAAGACAAAAGAAAACGGTTCAACCGGTCTGCCATCAGGACATATCGTAATACAAATAAAAAATAATATTCAAAAACCATACTAGTTCATAACTAGTACGCATAAGTAAAAACAAAACATAGCACAAGCTCTGACTGTGCCTAGGGGCCTGAGAGATCTGTCACGTTGCCTAGGAGTGGTGGAGTATTTCTCACCAAGCTGCATTTAGCCATTTATTCTATTTATAGTGATAGTGGCTGAGGCTATGGGGCCCTGAATGGAAATAACAAAACAAAAAAAACATAGAAATAAATGTGTTTAACTGCCAGCACGAAGTCCAATCACATTGGGTCACCTTTGTGTTTAAAAGGCTCTCTGGCTCCAGGCAGGTGTGCTTAGCTGGTTTTCCTCTAAGCCAAGAACCCAGAGGTACTGAAGTGCTGCTAGTTGGCCGGAGTGGGGCTTCACTGTAAACTGGAACAACACGCTGCTCTTCTGCTCTGAGTCCTGTGACATCACTTGCCCTCCAGGTGCTCCAGCAGGGGGTTGGCTTCGCTCTCAGGGGTCTTGACGCTGTCCGTCCTGACGATGCACGTTGGGCGGTGGCGATTCAACATGATGATCAGCTGCTGCCGCTCATGCTTCAGCTCCTCGATCTGAGCTTTGAGGTCAGAGTTCATCACCTCTAGTCTCTCCGATTCCTGAGACAGAGGGGGCAGGAGGAAGGAAGGAAGATCATTACTTATTCTTAGAAAAGTTGAGATTGATTTTACATTTCATTAAAGAAAAACCTCTCACCCTTTGTAGATAGTCTGTCCTCTCCTTCTTTTTGTTTCTACAGCGTGCTGCTGCTACTTTGTTTTTCTCTCTCCTTCGTTTCCTCCTGTCTTCTTCCTCATCTCTCTACATTAAGGAGAAATGCAAACATATTTTACAACCGAACAAGGTGGAAAATGGACCCAGCAATTATGGTTCAAGTGTAGGAAACAATCTAAAAGCAGGTTACATTTGTTTTAATGATAATTCTGTCCAATAGGTGATGCCATTGGTCAACATTAAAAGGCCCAGCGCAAATCTCTCTACCTCTCAAAAGTTTGTGGTCACTTAGAAATGTCCTTGTTTTCAAAAGAAAAGCACAACAAAATTGTCCATTTAAAATAACATCAAATTGATCAGAAATACAGTGTAGACATTGTTAATGTTGTAACTGGAAACGGCTGATTTTTAATGGAATATCTACATAGGCGTACAGAGGCCCATTATCAGCATCCATCAGTCCTGTGTTCCAATGGCACGTTGTGTTTGCTAATCCAAGTTTATCATTTTAAAAAGGCTAATTGATCATTAGAAAACCCTTTTGCAATTATGTTAGCACAGCTGAAAACTGTTGTACTGATTAAAGAATCAATAAAACTGGCCTTCTTTAGACTAGTTGACTATCTAGAGCATCAGCAATTGTGGGTTCGATTACAGGCTCAAAATGGCCAGAAACAAAGAACTTTCTTCTGAAACTCGTCAGTCTATTCTTGTTCTGAGAAATGAAGGCTATTCCATGCGAGAAATTGCCAAGAAATGGAAGATCTCGTACAACGCTGTGTACTACTCCCTTCACAGAACAGTGCAAACTGGCTCTAACCAGAATAGTAAGAGGAGTGGGAGGCCCCGGTGCACAACTGAGCAAGAGGACAAATACATTAGAGTGTCTAGTTTGAGAAACAGGCACCTCACAGGTCCTCAACTGGCAGCTTCATTAAATAGTACCCGCAAAACACCAGTCTCAATGTCAACAGTGAAGAGGCGACTCCGGGATGCTGACCTTCTAGGCAGAGTTGCAAAGAAAAAGCCATATCTCAGACTGGCCAATAAAAATAAAAGATTAAGATGTGCAGTCTGAGATGTGGCTTATCTCAGACTGGCCAATAAAAATAAAAGATTAAGATGGGCAGTCTGAGATATGGCTTTTTCTTTGCAACTCTGCCTAGAAGGTCAGCATCCCGGAGTCGCCGCTTCACTGTTGACATTGAGGCTGGTGTTTTACGGGTACTATTTAATGAAGCTGCCAGTTGAGGACCTGTGAGGTGCCTGTTTCTCAAACTAGACACTAATGTAAAAAAAAAAATCAGCCGTTTCCAGTTACAACATTGTCTACACTGTATTTCTGATCAATTTGATGTTATTTTAAAATGGACAATTTTTTTTTGCTTTTCTTTCGAAAACAAGGAAATGTCTAAGTGACCCCAAACTTTTGAACGGTAGTGTATATATATATATATATATATATATATATCTCCACACTACGAGGTTGGAATAACATTGTGAAATTCTGAAAATGTTGATAATGCATTTTAAGTGTTAAGAGCTGTTCCAAAATAAATGTCAGCCTGTTTTGGTGGGATCGAGTTTTGGCCTGCCTGGTAGTGATGGGACGATTGATACCGGTGCTCCACAGTTTTCAAAGCACTACTGATTCGACAACATATCGATGCTTGTATCAAAGTAACAATAACACGTGATGATGACATTCGAAGCTTCGGAGGTCACACTAGCATCTGACAGGTGTCATTGCTCGTAACAGAGCGCCGACCTCTGCTAGAAGCTTTTTGTTTTTATCTAGATATTTCACATTCTTAGAAGGTGTAAAGATACAGTAGCTCAGGGCGTAGCGCCACAAGGTAGAATAATCTATTCTGAAATTGTAGCACTAGTATCACATCTTGAGAGTGCCTATTTAGAATTGTTTTCTTTCTCAGTGATTGTAAATGAAACAGCTCTTGTAGTTGTTATTGGTCATTATCAAATTATGTATCAACGTTTTTTGTTAATATGTAAAGTTGAAAAAGTTTCATTCAAACCCAAAGCAAAGTTGACAAGCAGTTACCACGTAATAAATGACGTACAATGAATGCCTAGTTTGATCCCTCAGTCAGTGGATCCCGCCAAAAAATGGACCTCTGCTGGACACTATTTACAGGCGTACTATAGACATTCTTCTCCAGTTCTCACATAACAGGTGGTTCTGCCTGTATAGCAGCAGCAAATTAATCTCTAGTCTTGTGGAGGCACAGGATCAAATCCCTGTATAGATTAATTTATTTATTTTGCCTTTGAAACACTGGTTACATTGTATTTCTAACTTTTACATTATTAGTTTTGATAATCATAGGCTGTTCAGTTTTTTATTTAACATCGTAAATCATTCTGTCTTTTGTAAAAAATAAATAATTGTAAAATAAATCTAAGTTGCTCATTTTAAAGCATAGACGGATAGTTTCAAAGTAACAGCCCCACGTGATCAATGATGTACGAAGCTTCGTTTGATCACGTACCTTTTCGAACAGTCTGTTGTAAAATGCGAGATCACACTGATTTCGCCGTGGTGCCGGTGCTTTCTTTGTTGCAAAGTTGCTTTCAAACACCGACCTCTAATGGACACCTTATTTACACATTTAGTTACATTTTTCCAGTTTATAGCACCTGAACGGTAGCTCAGCAGGTAGGAACAGGGATTTAGGATCAGACACCAGCATAGGCACATGATTGAATCCTGGCTATGGTCGAAAGCATTTTTCTGTGAAACCACAATATCTTCCCATTGTTGTTCAAAAAAATGTTTTATTTAGTGTAGCCTATGATAATGTTTTGTCTTCAGCATCCTAAATAATACCATGGATAGTGCTGAGCGATTAGTGCTTTTTGAGGTCAGTTCGGTTTCGGTACAATTATAAAAAAATAAATCACTGTTTTCTGATTATTTGGGTTGAATGCTGTAACAAAGAATAAAACAATTCATAAGAGTCCCATGATTGCCCATTACTGCTTATCACTTATTAACTATAATTTATACACTTTACTTCAATAAAATATTTCAGTTGTTGTGTATATGTATGTGTTTTATTTGATGGCTATTATTTAATTCCAAGTCATCATCTCATCTCTATAGAGCTACTGCCTGTGCTGTCTGACAAAATCACTATTTTGTTGTTCTTCAAAGTAAATAATGAATACTTTTATGACTGCTGAATACCAACTATCAATCACTTTGATCATGTATTTTCAGGTAGAGATACCTCGCGAAGCATCAGCTGCTCTCCATATCCCCTCACGATCACGCATTCTTGTCTCTTCCATAGCAGGCGTAAATGATACACAGACCAAGTAGATGCGTTATGGATTATGGTCATTGTAGTTAATTACCACGTTTGAATGCGCTAAACTATGTAGAGTATTGGCCTGTTGGAAACTACAACTCCCTACTACATCGCACAGTTCAAGCTGGATCTGATTTATCTCTAGAAACTGTGCAATGTGTGCGTTGAGCTCAAATAAAATAAATATATAAGGGTAAGGGGCAAAAAGAACAAGTAGGATGTGGGATGCGAAGCCCGCATTCTAACTAAATTTAGTTTACCAACATTCACGCCTATCCATTGCGCTACGACGTTTTGATGGGTGCATTAGCATTTAGAAAACAGGTCTATATAAAACAGCAAACATGCTGATATGTATTCCTGACCAGCAGATGTCACTAATGTGCAGTGTTAAAAGTTCCGAATAATGAACCGTTTTTCGGCACAATTTGTTGAAAGCCCCAAAGGCATCGGTTACCCATCACTACTGCCTGGTGACATCACCAGGCGATAAATTAGTTAATAGACCAATAAGAAAAACTGTTCCAAACCTCTATGCCAATAACAGCTAGTTTTCCCCTCCCCACTCAGACCACTCCCAAACAGTCCTAGCAAAATTCTTGCTTGAGAAGTTGCGCTTTGCTAAGAAGCTATTTTTGTTTCTTTTTGACCATTTTAATTGAAAACAATCACAGTAAGGTACTTCATTGTTACCTAGAAATGATTTGATATTGTGATAAAAACAGCTGCATTGGATCTTTAAGTAGATACCGAAGTCCCTCTGAGCTCTGGGAACAAAACATTGCCTATGCATTTTAACTCAAACTTCTGTGATGGTTAGAAAAGTAAAAAATAATCAAACAAAAGAGTGAGTCTTAAACAGTAAAATTACCTGAAAGATGTCTCAATTCAAACGTCGCACATCATCTTCAAGAACCAAAGCAAAACTTTCATTCTCACCTCTGTTTTGATGGTTAGGGGCCTCTTCCCTAGCTTGCCCAGGAAGTGCAGTGGAGAGAGCATGGCCCCCAGTTCCCGGAGGTTGGCGTATTTGAGCTGGTCAGTCAGTGTAGTGGAGGGGATCCCTGCCAAGGGACCCAGGCTGGGAAATGAGCCGGCTGTCACCAGAGGATCTGAGATTGGTCCCGGCATCATATAAGACCCGGCCGTGACCACAGCTGATAGGAACAGGGACAAAAGGGCAGGAAAATACATTGAGAAGAAAATCAAAGACATGTGGATTGAGATGTACGATTCACCACCTTGTCCCTATACTCTGAACATTTCACAACATTTGGCAGCTATACCAGTGTAAAAGATCTGAATACATTTTACCCCAAATATTCACATTTCAAACCTGCTTCTGGTTTTGGTATAGTAGACAGATAATTAATTGATCTACTTTCATTTCAGTCTGCTAAATGGCTTAAAGGAGGCATTTCCCCGGGTGCACCTGGTCTCCCTGGCAGCCTTCTCTAATGAATTGTTGGCCTGTTGCAGAGCAGGAGGCCGAGGCTGTCTCCCATTAGGCCATTTTATTATTTCATCTCTCTTTTTTCTGGAATGTATGTATACTCCCATTTACAGAGGTCTTGGCATGGATCTATGTGGGGTTTTTTCATTCCCGAGGAGGCCAAGAGAGGCACACAGCCCTGCACAAAAGTAGACTCAGACACGTTCCCCTTTATGCCAAGGAGAACTAGAGCCAGCAATTGCCAAGAAACACCCGTTGCCCATGTTTTCCTCCATATGAGCCTTTTCTCCATGTCAGGGAGGTGGAATGTGGCTGCGGGAGCTCAGGACAATGTGGCCAACCCTGATAAAGGCCCTTCCTCTAACCCTTCTCCTCCTATTTTGTCTGACTAAACTGACACTATCCAAGAGCTATGGTGCCATACTTGTTCATCAGTGTCTTCCCTGTAAATCTGTTTGGTTTACAACTGTAGTGATATAAGTTTTGCAAGGACATCTGCCTCTATTCCCAGGTGAGTAGCAAGTAATTAATTTGGGAGGATGACGGATAGGGTATAGGTTACACTGTAGCTCACTAAACAGTGTCTCAATATAGTATATTTAAAGAAAAAGCACTTTACATCTATAACTGCTTGATTCTACTAAATTTTGCCTCACTCATTTGTAAGCTTGCATCAGCCATTCATTCTCTTGCTACTATTCAATGCCAAGGTTGCTATGAAAATCAAGCCACTCTAAAATCAAAGAGAAGGTGCGTGGAGAGGGGTAGCCAAGGACAACAGCTAGCTACCACAACTCTCCCAAGGATATCAGAGCCTGTTGCACGCTGCAGACAAGACCGCTGTCTGATTTCATTTGCCCACACACATTCACATTTCCCACCACATTATGGACTGAAATGGACTCAGCAGCACAAGAGCAAATACTCACAACACCAACCAAGTAACACCCCTGGGGTACAACCTGGGTAAAGAATCATATTAATGTACCCCTTTGCTCTGAATGTACAGTATCCTTCCAAAATATCTAAAAATAGAAATCGCTTATGAGCCCAGCAGGATATGCAAGCATTCAAGTAATGACTGAGAATGATGAGGAAAAATAAACAGAACAGAAACAGTGTTCTCTTTGTTTGGAAGTTAGCATGCCATTTCCATCGCTATTCACACGGCCGTAACACATCTGGACAACAGGAACACCTATGTGAGAATACTGTTCATTGACTACAGTTTAGCATTCAACACCATTGTTCCCTCCAAGCTCGACACCAAGCTCAGAGCCCTGGGTCTGGACACCACCCTCTGCAACTGGACCCTGGACTTCCTGACGGGCAGACCACAGGCTGTGAGGATTGGCAACAACACCTCCTCCACAATGACTCTTAAGGGGCCCCCTAGGGATGTTTCCTCGGCCTTCTGCTGTACTTCCTGTACACCTACGACTGCATGGCTTTGCATGACACCAACTCCATCATCAAGTTTGCTGATGACACCACGATTGTAGGCCTGATAACTAACAACAAGTCAGCCTATAGGGAGGAGGTAAGTGAACCGGCATTGTGGTGCCAGGACAACCACCTTTCCCTCAACGTCAGCAAAACAAAGGAGTTAATTGTTGACTTCAGGAAGCAGAGGAGGGAACATGCACTGATTCAAATCAACGGGACTGCAGCAGAGAGAGACAGCAGTTAAGTTCCTCCGCGTCCACATCACTGAGGACATGGCATGGACCAACAATACCACCACTCTTGTCAAGAGGGTGCAACAGAGTCTCTACTTCCTAAGGCAGCTGAATACATTTGCATGCCACCCAGGTCCTCTCCATATACTACTGCTGCACCATCGAGAGCGCCCTGACCAGTTGCATCACGGCCTGATACGAAAATTGCTCCGTCCACAACCGCAAGGCCCTCCAGCGGGTGATGAAGACAGCCCAGTACGTCACTGGGACCGTGCTCCCACCCATCTAGGAAATCTACTCGAAACGGTGCCTGAGGAAGGCACGCAGTATCATTAAGGACCCCACACACTAGCTGTTCACTCCCTTACCGTCGAGCAGTCGGTATCGGAGCATGAGGTCTGATACCAACAGGCTCAGAGACCGTTTCCATCTACAAGCCAACAGACTACTGAACACTTGAACTGGACTGACCACCTGCACTGACTCTCCACACCTTGGCATACATGCACCCACTCACATACACACATTCATGCTACACACATCACAACTGCTGCTACCAGACTTATTACGATTGCTAAATGCTGCACAATTTAAACACTTGCCTCCCTATCCCCCCTTCCCCAAAACATGTAAATATTGGACTATACATTGTGCCTTCCTGTATTATACTCATGATAAAATGTTTATTCTATTCTACTGAGCCATTTACTTCATGCTCTTATTTTTTATATTTTATTATTTATTATTATTGTTGCATTGTTGGGAAGGAACAGGCAAGTAAGCATTTTGTTGGACGGTGAATACCATGTGTATCCTGTACATACGACTAATACAACTTCAAACTAGTAAAAGAGTGTACAATAATCCAGATACCCAGGATACATTGATACAGGATCTCCTACACTGATCTCAGACCCTACCCAAATAATAGAAAGTACTGAAGGTTTCCTTCAATGTCTACGCAGTCTGGGCCTATGCTGTTTAGTCGTACAATGTTGAGTTCCAATTAATGGGAACCAAGCAAAGTAAGCCAATAACCTTACTCTGGGCAAGGTACTAAGACAAGTCATTTGAGGTTTTGGTGTATTTGCATGCAAGTGTGGCCTGTTTCACTCAACAATACTCTACCCCTTTCTACCTGCCCCCTCCCTCCACCACCTAAATGCCCTAATGTGCAGCATTAAAATCTACCAACAGCTTCCATTTGCCCTCCTTTTACAGCAAATTCTGTTCAACTAAGTAAATCATTTATTAAAATATTATTATTGCACAGATACAACCCAATTTGGCTTTACGGATGAAAATCTGGTAATTGTCATATATAACAGAATAGATTTGGTGCAGAACATGATTCCATTTTTACTGTGTGGTGCACATTTTCATTGTACCGGACTGAAACCAATTTTTAAATCAAGAAAACACAAGCAAATGTCCATCATTTTGTCTCAGATTATAATTAGTTTCAGTTCCAAAGTTACTCAAAAGAAAAGTACCAGGCCCAAAAATCTGGAAGTAATATGTGGAACTCCTCTAGTATGGTTAAAAACAGTACTGTTATGATGTTAGTTGTAATGCTACATGATGACAATGACCTCCGTGGCAGCTTTAGTAACCTATGCAGTAGTCACATACTTCGACAACCAGGTCTCCATAATGTTTTTTATGCAACAACTATAATGTGTGTAGCAAAGTTTATGTGCAGGCTAACTGCACTTACACAGGCATTGCAGATATCTATGAAAATAATCGAATAGACTTATTGTTGTCCTTGTATTAGAGACAAACAGATTTTGGTAACTTATTTTAACACCCTGACTAAGTTCCTCTGGATAAGAGCATCTGCCAAATGACCAAAATGTATATCTTAATGTAATGCCCTGTGTTCCTGCATTGCATTCACAAAGAAACATGTTGTTTTCTCCCTCCCAGTGAATACAAGGAATGAATGGTGAACAATAAGGCAGGGTTTATGAGAAATCCATTGTCTCATGTCAATCTGGTCCAAAGTGGTTCCTCACACCTAGCTGTGATAGACGCCTTAGGTTTTCCATTGAGGACTGTATCTGCAACCTCACCCTTCATATAATCTATGTCCCAATAAAGGCAGATTGGAAAATGTAATTAAATTAAAATATGTATTTTATTTAATAAGAACGATACACATGTTTTCATTACTCAATGATTAGGATATTCAACAGTGAAAGTTTCGAAACTAAAACAGAAAGTTAAAAAAGAGAGAAGAAACCTTTAACAGAGCGCTGAATTAGTTGCGAAATTAACATTATTACCAGAAGCCAATTTTATTTCACAGAAACATCGATCCAGTGTGCAGTGTAAGTAGTAGGCTAACATTGTAATAGGCTACCTACTAAATTGATACATTGTCAGAATTCCATCAAGTTTATGTAACACTCCTGAAAGCCAGTGTTTACACAGAACAAGAAAAGTAAACCTCGGTTAATAATGATACACTTGAGTCATGACTCATTTCAAAGCAGAAGCTATTATTCAGTATGGAATGCATGTTATGTAACTGACTTTTGCAGAGTGATGAAACATTAAATCAATTATACGTGTTGTGAGGAATGTTTTGTCATATTCGTTCAGGAAAAATAAAGTTGCAGAGTACCACTTTATTAGGATGAATAAACGTGTAGGTCTGCAACCTTGCAAGCGTGCATACTAAACAGAAGAAAACCATTGAGTGCAAAGTTATGTCTCATGAAGAACGTTTATAATCTCCATAAATGCTTACATTAGGCTATTGCTGCCCAATCCAAAAAGAACGAAAGAACGGGATTGCTCAATTGCACGACCGTGCACAATTGTCCACTGAAAAACGAATGGGCTGCTCACACTCGCAACTCAAGCGTGGCGCCCCAGTATAATAAATGTTTCTCGATTACGAAAATGTCTATTACCTGACTTTGATCCCGAGTGCAACAGTTGTCCTTTCTTCTGGTCAGCTGAAGGTCGAGAATAGATTTTAAAAAGTGGAAACCGTTGCATCAGCCCGTTTAAATAGTGATCCCTATCTGGGAGGATTTGGGAATGCGGAAATGAGTTATGCCAACTAGACGTAAACTGGGATGTAAAAAGTACAGCTCAAAGTGAGCGCAAGATGTAGGGAAGTCCTATCCGCCCCTCCCCTAGAAACCAGAAAACAATCCACTCCACTGACCCAGTGCAGAGCAGGACAGACCCTGCAGTTGTGATTCCGTGTGTAATTAACACCTGCCATTAATGCCTATAAACACCATTCTTGTTTGATTCATTCACAATATCAATACTCTCACTTTCTATTCCACAGACAGAGAGAGAGCGAGAGAGAGAGAGAGATAATGCTTACTGTTAATTCTTTTATTGTTTAATTCACTTTTGTTTATAATCTATTTCACTTGCTTTGGCAATGTAAACATAGGTTTCCCATGCCAATAAAGCCCCCTTAAATTTAAATTTAAATTGAGAGAGAGAGAGAGAGAGAGAGAGAGAGAGAGAGAGAGAGAGAGAGAGAGAGAGAGAGAATCAATCAATTCCAGACCCAGGGACATGAACTAGTCTGTGGCGACCTAAATGCCAGAACTGGACAAGAACCTGACACCCTCAGCACACAGGGGGACATACACCTACCTGGAGGTGACAGCATTCCCTCCCCCATATGCCCCCCTAGGCACAACTACGACAACATAACCAACAAAAACGGGTCACGACTCCAGAGCTCTGTCGCACACTGGGTATGTACATAGTCAATGGTAGGCTTCGAGGGGACTCCTATGGTAGGTACACCTATAGCTCATCTCTTGGCAGTAGTACTGTAGACTACTTTATCACTGACCTCAACCCAGAGTCTCTCAGAGCGTTCACAGTCAGCCCACTGACACCCCTATCAGACCACAGCAAAATCACAGTCTACTTGAACAGAGCAATACTCAATCATGAGGCATCAAAGCCAAAGGAACTGAATAATATTAAGAAATGCTATAGATGGAAGGAAAGTAGTGTTGAAACCTACCAAAAAACAATTAGGAAACAACAAATTCAATCCATTCTAGACAACTTCCTGGACAAAACGTTCCACTGTAATAGTGAAGGTGTAAACTTGGCAGTAGAAAACCTAAACAGTATATTTGACCTCTCAACTTCCCTATCAAATCTAAAAATCTCTAACAGAAAACCAAAGAAAAGTAATAACAGTGATAAATGGTTTGATGAAGAATGCAAAAACCGAAGAAAGAAATTGAGAAACCTATCCAACCAAAAACATAGAGACCCAGAAAACCTGAGCCTATGCCTTCACTATGGTGAATCACTAAAACAATACAGAAATACACTACGGAAAAAGAAGGAACAGCATGTCAGAAATCAGCTCAATGTAATTGAAGAATCCATAGACTCTAACCACTTCTGGGAAAATTGGAAAACACTAAACAAACAACAACACGAAGAGCTATCTATCCAAAACGGAGATGTATGGGTAAACCACTTCTCCAATCTTTTTGGCCCTATAACAGAGAACAAACAAAAAAAATATATACATGATCAAATGCAAATCTTAGAATCAACTATTAAAGACTACCAGAACCCACTGGATTCTCCAATTACATTGAATGAACTACAGGACAAAATACAAACCCTCCAACCCAAAAAGTCCTGTGGTGTTGATGGTATCCTCAATGAAATGATAAAATATACAGACCACAAATTTCAATTAGCTATACTTAAACTCTTTAACATCATCCTTAGCTCTGGCATCTTCCCCAATATTTGGAACCAAGGACTGATCACCCCAATCCACAAAAGTGGAGACAAATTTGACCCCAATAACTACCGTGGGATATGCGTCAACAGCAACCTTGGGAAAATCCTCTGCATTATCATTAACAGCAGACTAGTTCATTTCCTCAGTGAAAACAATGTACTGAGCAAATGTCAAATTGGCTTTTTACCAAATTACCGTACGACAGACCAGGTATTCACCCTGCACACCCTAATTGACAAACAAACAAACCAAAACAAAGGCAAAGTCTTCTCATGTTTTGTTGATTTCAAAAAAGCTTTTGACTCAATTTGGCATGAGGGTCTGCTATACAAATTGATGGAAAGTGGGGTTGGGGGAAAAACATACGACATTATAAAATCCATGTACACAAACAACAAGTGTGCGGTTAAAATTGGCAGAAAACACACACATTTCTTTCCACAGGGCCGTGGGGTGAGACAGGGATGTAGTTTAAGCCCCACCCTCTTCAACATATATATCAACGAATTGGCGAGGGCACTAGAACAGTCTGCAGCACCTGGCCTCACCCTACTAGAATCTGAAGTCAAATGTCTTCTGTTTGCTGATGATCTGGTGCTTCTGTCACCAACCAAGGAGGGCCTACAGCAGCACCTAGATCTTCTGCACAGATTCTGTCAGACCTGGGCCCTGACAGTAAATCTCAGTAAGACAAAAATAATGGTGTTCCAAAAAAGGTCCAGTTGCCAGGCCCACAAATACAAATTCCATCTAGACACCGTTGTCCTAGAGCACACAAAAAACTATACATACCTCGGCCTAAACATCAGCGCCACAGGTAACTTCCACAAAGCTGTGAACGATCTGAGAGACAAGGCAAGAAGGGCTTTCTATGCCATCAAAAGGAACATACAATTTGACATACCAATTAGGATCTGGCTAAAAATACTTGAATCAGTTATAGAACCCATTGCCCTTTATGGTTCTGAGGTCTGGGGTCCGCTCACCAACCAAGAATTCACAAAATGGGACAAACACCAAATTGAGACTCTGCAGGCAGAATTCTGCAAAAACATCCTCTGTGTACAACGTAAAACACCAAATAATGCATGCAGAGCAGAATTAGGCCAATACCCGCTAATTATCAAAATCCAGAAAAGAGCCGTTAAATTCTATAACCACTTAAAAGGAATCGATTCCCAAACCTTCCATAACAAAGCCATCACCTACAGAGAGATGAACTTGGAGAAGAGTCCCCTAAGTAAGCTTGTCCTGGGCCTCTGTTCACAAACACAAACAGACCCCACACAGCCCCAGGAAAACAACAACAAGAACACAATTAGACCAAACCAAATCATGAGAAAACAAAAAGAGAATTACTTGACACATTGGAAAGAACAAACAAAAAAACAGAGCAAACTAGAATGCTATTTGGCCCTAAACAGAGAGTACACAGTGGCAGAATACCTGACCACTGTGACTGACCCAAACTTAAGGAAAGCTTTGACTATGTACAGACTCAGTGAGCATAGCCTTGCTATTGAGAAAGGCCGCCGTAGGCAGACCTGGCTCTCAAGAGAAGACAGGCTATGTGCACACTGCCCACAAAATGAGGTGGAAACTGAGCTGCACTTCCTAACCTCCTGCCAAATGTATGACCATATTAGAGACACATATTTCCCTCAGATTACAGCGATCCACAAAGAATTCGAAAACAAACCCAATTTTGATAAACTCTCTTATCTACTAGGTGAAAAACCACAGTGTGCCATCACAGCTGCAAGATTTGTGACCTGTTGCCACAAGAAAAGGGCAACCAGTGAAGAACAAACACCATTGTAAATACAACCCATATTTATGTTTATTTATTTTCCCATTTGTACTTTAACTATTTGCACATTGTTACAACACTGTATATATACATAATATGACATTTGAAATGTCTTTATTCTTTTGAAACTTCTGAGTGTAATGTTTACTGTTAATATTTATTGTTTATTTCACTTTTGTTTACTATCTACTTCACTTGCTTTGGCAATGTTAACACACGTTTCCCATGCCAATAAAGCCCTTAAATTGAATTGAATTGAATTGAAATTGAATTGAGAGAGAGAGAGAGAGCGAGCGAGAGAGAGAGAGAGAAAAAGAGAGAGACTTTCTACAACTTCTTCTACAACAATTAACAAGAGGAACTACAAACAAGAGGATCATCCAGATCAAATTCAATGCCGGTTGTTTCTAGATATTCAGGTGACCATAAAATGTATTTAATTATGAAATCCATGAATTGTGAAACTCAATGGAGCAACACTAGCTGGTACAGTGGCTTGCGAAAGTATTCACCCCCCTTGGCATTTTTCCTATTTTGTTGCCTTACAACCTGGAATTAAAATGGATTTTTGGGGGGTTTGTATCATTTGATTTACAGAACATGCCTACCACTTTGAAGATGCAAAATATTTTTTCTTGTGAAACAAACAATAAATATGACTAAGAAACACAAAAATTGAGTGTGCATATGGCTTTTTTCTGGCCACTCTTCCGTAAAGCCCAGCTCTGTGGAATGTACGGCTTAAAGTGGTCCTATTGACAGATACTTCAATCTCCGCTGTGGAGCTTTGCAGCTCCTTCAGGGTTATCTTTGGTCTCTTTGTTGCCTCTCTGATTAATGCCCTCCTTGCCTGGTCCATTAGTTTTGGTGGGCGGCCCTCTCTTGGCAGGTTTGTTGTGGTGCCATATTCTTTACATTTTTTAATCATGGATTTAATGGTGCTCCGTGGGATGTTCAAAGTTTCTGATATTTTTTTATAACCCAACCCTGATCTGTACTTCTCCACAACATTGTCCCTGACCTGTTTGGAGAGCTCCTTGGTCTTCATGGTGCCGCTTGCTTGGTGATGCTTCTTGCTTAGTGGTGTTGCAGACTCTGGGGCCTTTCAGAACAGATGTATATATACTGAGATCACGTGACACTTAGATTGTACACAGGTGGACTTTATTTAACTAACTATGCGACTTCTGAAGGTAATTGGTTGCACCAGATCTTATTTAGGGACTTCATAGCAAAGGGGGTGAATACATATGCACGCACCACTTTTCCGTTATTTATTTTTTAGAATTTTTTGAAAGAAGTTGTTTTTTTCATTTCACTTCACCAATTTGGACTATTTTGTGTATGTCCATTACATGAAATCCAAATAAAAATCCATTTAAATTACAGGTTGTAATGCAACAAAATAGGAAAAACGCCAAGGGAGATGAATACTTTTGCAAGGCACTGTATATGTGATGAAATATTTAGCAATCAAAAAAGCACCCAACATCACTTTGAATGAATATTTAATGTGAATATTTATCAATAAGCAATCAATGCTCATTAACTTTTTTTATTTGACAAACAAGTCAAAATCTGAGGTAAAAAAATACATTCTCATAAATTACATCTTGATAGATATAGCACTGGATGTTTTCATGGAAAACTCTAAACATTGTAACAATGAGGTCAAATCACAGTGGATGACATTGAGGTATGTATGTAAGTACTGAACATGATGTTTACTTTAACACAATATTCATAGCTATTGATATACTATTCCCATTGAAGCACAAAACCATACAGTCAATTCCACAATACAGCTTACCAGATCAAACATATATGAACATTATTTGGAATTCCTCTGCATGCGTTAAAACCAGAACATACTTCATTCCCATCTGTAAAATGTATAGCCATGCTCTTAGCTACATCAATTGTATCTGGAAGAAGTTTATACTTGCTTAGTCAAATAACACAATTCATTGATGTAATCCTCAAACTGAAGTGCTGACACCACAGCAAGTCTCTGATATCTTATTACAGTTGGGGATACCAACTGCAGTGATCCACCAATCAACTCCCTCTGCTTACATTATAAGGCCAACAGGGTTGGAGAGTTGAGGATATCAACAGATTCAGCCTTGCCCACTGCACTTTTGCGACCGTCAAACCCCTCTCCAAGGGAGTCGAGCTCGGGACAGGAGAATGTGAAAATGGACAGGTAGCTACTACAGGTGGGGGTCGAGGTCACAACCGGAGTGCTCAGAGGCTCTAGGTCATTAGACACAGATTTGTACAGGGTTTCCCAGTCCGTAACCCCAAGGGAGCCGCTAAGGTCAATGTCTGGTACAGAGCGGGCAGTCTCTGTAGGGACTTTCTCCTCCATGCTGGGCAGCAGATTGTCCAGGAGCCCCTCCTTCATATCCAATGAGGGCTCAAGGTCGCAGATGTTCACTTCAGCACTTGCACAGAGTAGGATGTTGGAGTTCCCAGAGATGGCTGTGGACGGGTCACTGGGGATGTCCATGTCCTGAAGCGAGGGGGCTTCCTGAGCACTGTCCTCAGGGAGATTACTCCCCTCTGGGCTGGAGGGTAGCTCGGGAGACCCACTGGGCTCCAAGAAGATGGAGTCCAGTTCTTCTGCAATTTGGCACACAGGTTTATGAGTAGTGAGGACAAATTCCAGCCTCTCTTTCTCTTTGAGGAGGTTGGCTATCTCTGTCTGCAGAGCTGCTTTGTCCTCCTCCAGCTGATCAGTTTCCTTTGAAAATAAACAAAATGCGGAACACAGGAAATGTAAACAATCATAACAATAGATAAACGTTTAAAATGATGGTACTGTGATTAGCATGATGTCCAAGGGTTAACTTACAGCTTGCAGTGTATCAGTGAGTTCCCTCCGTCTGTTGCGACACTTGGCTGCAGCCATTTTATTCCTCTCTCTCCTCACCCTCTTCTTCTCTTCTTCCTCTGGAGAGAGCTGTGAGATTCAGAGAAAAACCTTGAATAATTTGTCCATTTCATCTCCTAATCTCAGACTTCCGTTGCCAATTCCCCCTCTGGAGAGTAGCAAAAGCATCTTTCTCTGCAATGCGTCTAAAAATAGACCATTGTTGCAGACTCACTGTGATCTGAATATAAATGGACTGCCTGAGCTCGGCACACAGCCAAATACACTGCTCTTGGAGAGCATGCAATGCTGCTGCTGCACTGTTGGAAATTAAGATTGATTTAGATGTTCACACAAGTGAATATGTTTTATTTTATTTGCAATCTGAAAAGCGCCAACCAACCTGCTCGATTTTCCCCTTTCTGCCATTGTTTTTCCCCCTGCTCCCGCCCGCTTTGGGTGTTGCCTGGTGAGAGCTCTGCACTTCATTGGCTTGCTTGCTACCCAGAGATGGGGAGACAGATGTTATAATAGTCGGCTGGACCATCCACTGCAAATCCGGGGTAGTGGAAATTGCAGTCACTGTTGGAACAAATGAAGTGGCTGGTATATCCATGTCTGGGCAGAGCTCCTGCAAAGTTATATATTATCACAGTTATTAATGATTTACAACTAATGATTTTGATCACAATTTACTTAATTATTTTACTGCACAACTAGTCATTCTAAACACATGTTATTCTAATGACATAGACATAAGGTAATTACCACATTTGTATTGGGGATGTCTGTGACTTTATGCTGTATTGTTATGGCATGTATGAACTATATATGGGTTTTCTTAAAATATATCTAGCCATCTAAAAATAGTCTCCCCCGAACCAATATTTGACTTTATCATTCTTACTGACGTCAACACTGACGCAGAGATGCTGTGAAGTCTCCGGAATGGATTTATTTATCTAAATTAACGGCTGCATGGACATGCTACATATTTGGTCTGAGGACGTGAAAATGATCATACACACAATTTTAATCCTCTCCCACTGTGGCGTGTTATTGCATTTTCAATATTTCACTCTTGGATTCTGGAATAGGAAATAGGTGTTCATCATATAAATATGAATAATATGGTAAAATCTTTTATCCCACTTACCCACCCATTTGCTGACAATCTCGACAAATAAATTAATTATTTCCTATTATTGATTTCACACACATTTATGTTAATATAGTATTGATTAACAATGATAAATGATGAAAGTCAACCATATTTTAATTAATAGTCGTTGACATCGTTGCGTGTGAATATTATTATCATTGCATCACAGACATCACTACTTGATTCATTCATACCTGTGCACTGCTCTCTGACGGCGAAGCTGAGGACCTGGAGAAAGAGTCATCTTGTGTCTTCTGATAGTACGTCAGGGTGTCCCCGACAGGAGATTCTGTGCTGCAGCGAGACATTGAATCGAAGTCAGGGTTAAGAAACATGTCTTAAAATATCCTCAGCTAATAGAATAACCAGCCTGCTCGTCAAAGATAGTTTTTCTTCAGTTGCTTCTATTCCAGGTTTGTACCTGGTAACTGATAGACTCGTGTGCAAGCCCCTCCTTTTATAGTCTGCCAGACTTTTATGAATGAACGGAGGCTGTACCATCTCTATAGAGGGGAGCCACTGGACAATGAAACACACATTTAGCATATTTTTTAACATCTGCCAAATGCTCAATGTCATATGACTGAGTTGCTCAAATTTGTAATTTCCCCCCAGTTAAATACAATGTAATATTTTAAAATGCATTAATACAACAAATACCAGAGAGAAGTGTGTAGCATGTAGCATGCCCATTCATAAATTCAGGCACACAGACTCTATTGATTTCGTGCAAATAACAGCACATTTTAATGGCTATATAATGCAGTTGTCTCTATCTGAATGAATTGGTTTACACCTCAATATATGAAATTGGACATACACAGTCGTGGTCAAAAGTTTTGAGAATGACACAAATATTAATTTTCACAAAGTCTGCTGTCTCAGTTTTTATGATGGCAATTTGCATATACTCCAGAATGTTATGAAGAGTGATCAGATGAATTGCAATTAATTGCAAAGTCCCTCTTTGCCATGAAAATGAACTTAATCCCCAAAAAACCTTTCTACTGCATTTCAGCCCTGCCACAAATGGACCAGCTGACATCATGTCAGTGATTCTCTCGTTAACACAGGTGAGAGTGTTGACGAGGACAAGGCTGGAGATCACTCTGTCATGCTGATTGAGTTAGAATAACAGACTGGAAGCTTTAAAAGGAGGGTGGTGCTTGAAATCATTGTTCTTCCTCTGTTAACCATGGTTACCTGCAAGGAAACACGTGCCATCATCATTGCTTTGCACAAAAAGGGCTTCACAGGCAAGGATATTGCTGCTAGTAAGATTGCACCTAAATCAACCATTTATCAGATCATCAAGAACTCCAAGGAGAGAGGTTAAATTGTTGTGAAGAAGGCTTCAGGGTGCCCAAGAAAGTCCAGCAAGCGCCAGGACCGTCTCCTAAAGTTGATTCAACTGCGGGATCGGGGCACCACCAGTGCAGAGCTTGCTCAGGAATGGCAGCAGGCAGGTGTGAGTGCATCTGCACGCACAGTGAGGCGAAGACTTTTGGAGGATGACCTGGTGTCAAGAAGGGCAGCGAGGAAGCCACTTCTCTCCAGGAAAAACATCAGGGACAGACTGATATTCAGCAAAAGGTACAGGGATTGGACTGCTGAGGACTGGGGTAAAGTCATTTTCTCTGATGAATCCCCTTTCCAATTGTTTGGGGCATCCGGAAAAAAGCTTGTCCGGAGAAGACAAGGTGAGCGCTACCATCAGTCCTGTGTCATGCCAACAGTAAAGCATCCTGAGACCATTCATGTGTGGGGTTGCTTCTCAGCCAAGGGAGTGGGCTCACTCACAATTTTGCCTAAGAACACAGCCATGAATAAAGAATGGTACCAACACATCCTCCGAGAGCAACTTCTCCCAACCATCCAATAACAGTTTGGTGACGAACAATGCCTTTTCCAGCATGACGGAGCACCTTGCCATAAGGCAAAAGTGATAACTAAGTGGCTTGGGGAACAAAACATCGACATTTTGGGTCCATGGCCAGGAAACTCCCTAGACCTTGATCCCATTGAGAACTTGTGGTCAATCCTCAAGAGGCGGGTGGACAAACAAAAACCCACAAATTCTGACAAACTCCAAGCATTGATTATGCAAGAATGGGCTGCCATCAGTCAGGATGTGGCCCAGAAGTTAATTGACAGCATGCCAGGGCGGATTGCAGAGGTCTTGAAAAAGAAGGGTCAACACTGCAAATATTGACTCTTTGCATAAACTTAATGTAATTGTCAATAAAAGCCTTTGACACTTATGGAATGCTTGTAATTATACTTCAGTATACCATAGTAACATCTGAGAAAAATATATAAAAACACTGAAGCAGCAAACTTTGTGAAGACCAATACTTGTGTCGTTCTCAAAACTTTTGACCACGACTGTACACAATAGGCTTACTGCTTAGAATTATTTTAAATGTTCTATACGTTTTATTAGGCAATAGGATAATTATAGGCTACTAACCCTGAAGTGATATACACAGTAATCTGGTTGTGTTAGTTATAAAGCTATTTTTTTATTATTTTAATTACATAATAGAATGGCAGTATAATATTAGCCTACGCCATTAATATAAAGACAGTTATTATACGTACACCAGAGTTATCACGTTTTTTTCATCAAACGATCCTAGAATGATGACGTGCCAATCTCGCACAGGTTGCATTCCATATAAGGACACTGATGTCCTGGAAATCCTTTTTTTTTAAATATTTTTTTTAACAAAAACCTCATATCTGCTCGATCTACCAGTAACACCGAATAACATTATTTGTATTTGCATTTGCGTATTTAGTACTTATTATTATAAAACAACGACGCAATACATGTCGCTGAAAATAAAAAGGATACAAAGTAGAAACAGTATGATGATTTTTTGACAATTATTACCACGCGCACGTTGGACTTGCAAAAAAAAGGACTGCGGAGCGAAGAGATCAAGTGACTTAACCCGGAACTGCGCAGCATCTAGATTTTTAGCATCGAGATTGCTTGGTGGGGACTGACAGTAGCATACAGTATGTCTAGATTATGTGTATTACTTATTTTTCCTGTTCTTTTTGATTTGACCTTTACTATTACGTTCTATCTACCGGTAAATCTTATAAAATGTTTGCGGGAAGAGATCCACAAAGATGTGCTGGTCACAGGCGAATACGAAGTTAGCGAACAACCAAATGCGAAAACCAATCTCAAGGTAACGCGTAATTTAGCTAGTTAGGTCTGAGCTAGCTAGCTAGACTGTATCAAATCCTTGGAATCAAATTGCTGTTAACGTTACTATTTGACTTGGAAGCCTCGAATATGTGTATCACTTACCTACTATCAATACCAATATTTCGATTTTTCTCTGGGCAGGTTTGCATTAGTTGGCCACCTGACCAGGTAGCTAACGTTATCTAGCTAACCTATACGGTATATGGACCAACGACCTGTACAGTACAGCTGGCTAATGTAACTAGCTAGCTAAATAAAATGATGTCATTTTGGTTCAACGGTATACGGCAAAAGACGTGAATAGCCATCAATATCTATGCAAGTATAGTATTAATCATGTAGCTACAAGCTACACTATATATACAAAAGTATGTGGACACCGCTTCAAATTAGTAGATTTGGCTATTTCAGCCACACCCGTTGCTGACTGGTGTATAAAATCGAACACACAGCCATGCAATCTCCATAGACAAACATTGGCAGTAGAATGGCTTTACTGAAGAGCTCAGTGACTTTCAACGTGGCACCGTCATAGGATGCCGCCTTTCCAACAAGTCAGTTTGTCAAATTTCTGCCCTGCTTGAGCAGCCCCAGTCAACGGTAAGTGCTGTTATTGTAAAGTGGAAACGTCTAGGAGCAACAACGGCTCAGCCGCGAAGTGGTAGGCCACCCAAGCTCACAGAACAGGACCACCGAGTGCTGAAGCACGTAAAAATCGTCTGTCCTTGGTTGCATCATTCACTACCGAGTTCCAAACAGCACAAGAACTGTTAGTCGGGAGCTTCATGAAATGGGTTTCCATGGCTGAGCAGCCGCACACAAGTCTAATCTCACCATGCGCAATGCCAAGCGTCGGCTGGAGTGGTGTAAAGCTCGCTGTCATTGGACTCTGGAGCAGTGGAAACGTGTTCTCTGGAGTGATGAATCACCATCTGGCAGTACAACTGACAAATCTAGGTTTGGCGGATGCCAGGAGAACGCCACCTTCCCAAATACATTGTGCCAACTGTAAAGTTTGGTGGATGAGGAATAATGGTCTGGGGCTGTTTTTCATGGTTTGTGCTAGGCCCCTTAGTTCCAGTGAAGGGAAATCTTAATGCTACAGCATACAATGACATTCTAGACAATTCTGTGTTTCCAACTTTGTGGCAACAGAAGGCTCTTTCCTGTTTCGGCATGACAATGCCCCCGTGTACAAAGCAAGGTCCATACAGAAATGGTTGGTCGAGATCGGTGTGGAAGAACTTGACTGGCCTGCACAGAGCCCTGACCTCAACTCCATCGACTGCGAGCCAGGCCTAATCGCCCAACATCAGTGCCCGACCTCACTAATGCTCTTGTGGCTGAATGGAAGCAAGTCCCTGCAGCAATGTTCCAACATTTAGTGGAAAGCCTTCCCATAAAAGTGGAGGCTGTTTATAGCAGCAAAAGGGGGACCAACTCCATATTAATGCCCATGATTTTGGAATGAGATGTTCGACGAGCAGGTGTCCACATACTTTTGGTCATGTAGTGTATGTTATAAAGATTAACACAAGTAGCTAGCTAGTTGATTTTGATTAATGCATGTGTAGTGTATCTGGGTCAAAAAAAGTACCAACCATATGTTTAATTATTTTCCATTTCAGATTACAGATTCATCAGGTCACATCTTGTACTCCAAGGAGGATGCTTCAAAGGGGAAGTTTGCCTTTACAACAGAGGACTATGATATGTTTGAGGTTTGCTTCGAAAGCAAATCCCCCCTAGGTGAGTGTTTAACCATGTCACATATGTATTCTAACATAGCAATGGGCCTGGGTCGTTTAAGTGTAAAGCCAGCAGGGTTCGACCTTAAGGCTTGTCCGCCTTGTCCGGGGCAAGTAAAAAAAAGTCAGACAACCAGAATAAAAATATAAGTGCAACAATTTCAAAGATTTTACTGAGTTACAGTTCATAAGGAAATCAGTCAATTGAAATAAATTCATTAGGCCCTAATCTATGGATTTCACATTACTGCGAATACAGATACGCATCTGCTGATCGCAGATACCTTTAAAAAACAGTATGGGCATGGATCAGAAAACCAGTCCATATCTGGTGTGACCACCATTTGCCTCATGCAGCGCAACATCTCCTTCGCATAGAATTGATCAAGCTGTTGATTGTAGCCTGTGGAATGTTGGCCTACTCGTCTTCAATGGCTGTGCGAAGTTGCTGGATATTGGCGGGAACTGGAACACGCTGTCGTACACGTCGATCCAAATCATCCCAAACATGCTCAATGGGTGACATGTCTGGTGAGTATGCAGGCCTTGGAGGAACTGGGACATTTTCAGCTTCCAGGAATTCTGTACAGATCCTTGCGACATGGGGCCATGCATTATCATGCTGAAACATGAGGTGATGGCGACGGATGAAAGGCACGACAATGGGCCTCAGGATCTCTTCACGGTATCTCTGTGCATTCAAATTACCATCAATAAAATGCAATTGTTTTCGTTGTCCATAGCTTATGCCTGCCCATACGATAACCCCACCATGGGGCACTCTGTTCACCACGTTGACATCAGCAAACCGTTCGCCCACACAACGCCATACACATGGTCTGCAGTTGTGAGGCCAGTTGGATGTACTGCCAAATTCTCTAAAACGATGTTGGAGGCAGCTTATGGTGGAGAAAGTCACATTAAATTATCTGGCAACAGCTCGTGGACATTTCTGCAGTCAGCATGCCAATTGCACACTACCTCAAAACTTGAGACATCTGTGGCGTTGTGACGAAACTGCACATTTTAGAGTGGCCTTTTATTGTCCCCAGCATAAGGTCCACCTGTGTAATGACTGTGCTGTTTAATCGGCTTCTTGATATGCCACACCTGTCAGGTGGATGGATTATCTTGGCAAAGGAGAAATGCTCACTAACAGGGATGTAAACAAATGTGTGCACAATTTGAGAGAAATTAGCTTTGTGCGTATGGAACATTTCTGGGATATTTTATTTCAGCTCATGGAACATGGGATCAACACTTTACATATTGCGTTTTATATTTTTGTTCATTGTAGATTTCAGTTGTCCGAAGGGACAAGTAAAAAATCACAATATCAAACAATTACTCAGATCAGAATTGAATTAGGCAGCGCACAGCAGGGCAGTACATTGTTGACATTGAGTAAATTGCCTATATCCCGATCGGGTTCAGGTCCTGTCTGGGCCACTGAGACTTGTCCCGAAACCACTCCTGCGTTGTCTTGGCTGTGTGCGTAGGGTCGTTGTCCTGTTGGAAGGTGAATCTTCGCACCAGTCTGAGGTCCTGAGCACTCTTCGTCAAGGATCTCGCTGTACTTTGCTTCGTTCATCTTTCCCTCGATCCTGACTAGTCTCCCAGTCCCTGCCACTGAAAACATCCCCACAGCATGATGCTGCTACCACCATGCTTCACCATAGGGATGGTGCCAGATTTCCTCCAGACGTGACGCTTGGCATTCAGGCCTAAGAGTTCAATCTTGGTTTCATCAGACCAGAGAATCTTGTTTCTCATGGTCTGAGAGTCCTTTAGGTGCCTTTTGGCAAACTCCAAGTGGGCTGTCATGTGCCTTTTACTGAGAAGTGACTTCTGTCTGGCCACTCTACCATAAAGGCCTGATTGGTGGAGTGCTGCAGAGATGGTTGTCCTTCTGGAAGGTTCTCCCATCTCCACAGAGGAACTCTGGAGCTCTGTCAGAGTGACCATCAGGTTCTTGGTCACCTCCCTGACCAAGGCCCTTCTCCCCTGATTGCTCAGTTTGGCCAGGCGGCCACCTCTAGGAAGAGTGTTGGTGGTTCCAAACTTCTTCCATTTAAGAATGATGGAGGCCACTGTGTTCTTGGGGACCTTCAATGCTGCAGAAATATTTTGGTACCCTTGTGCCTCGACACAATCCTGTCTCGGAGCTCTACGGACATTTCCTTCGACCTCATGGCTTGGTTTTTGCTCTGACATGCACTGTCAACTGTGGGACCTTTTTATATAGACAGGTGTGTGCCTTTCCAAATCATGTCCAATCAAATTGATTTACCACAGGTGGACTCCAATCAAGTTGTAAAAACATCAAGGATGATCAATGGAAACGGGATGCACCTGAGCTCAATTGAGTCTCATAGCAAAGGGTCTGAATACTTATGTAAGGTATTTCTGTGTTTTATTTTTAATAAATTAGCAAAAATGTATAACCTGTTTTTGATTTGACAGAGCTCCAGAGTTCCTCTGTGGAGATGGGAGAAGCTTCCAGAAGGACAACCATCTCTGCAGCACTCCACCAATCAGGCCTTTATGGTACCTCAGTAAAAGGCATATGACAGCCCGCTTGGAGTTTGCCAAAAGTCACCTAAAGACTCTCAGACCATGAGAAACAAGATTCTCTGGCCTGATGAAACCAAGATTGAACTCTTTGGCCTGAATGCCAAGCGTCACGTCTGGAGGAAACCTGGCACCATCCCTACGATGAAGCATGGTGGTGGCAGCATCATGCTGTGGGGATGTTTTTCAGCAGCAGGCACTGGGAGACTAGTCAGGATAGAGGGAAAGATGAACGGCGCAACATACAGAGATCCTTGATGAAAACCTGCTCCAGAGCGCTCAGGACCTCAGACTGGGGCTAAGGTTCCCCTTCCAACAGGACAACGACCCTAAGCACACAGCCAAGACAACGCAGGAGTGGTTTCGGGACAAGTCTCTAAATGTCCTTGAGTGGCCCAGCCAGAGCCTGGACTTGAACCCAATTGAACATCTCTGGAGAGACCTGGAAATAGCTGTGCAGCGACGCTCCCCATCCAACCTGACAGAGCTTGAGAGGATCTGCAGAGAAGAATGGGAGAAACTCCCCAAATACAGGTGTGCCAAGCTTGTAGCGTCGTACCCAAGAAGACTCAAGGCTGTAATCGCTGCCAAAGGTGCTTCAACAAAGTACTGAGTAAAGGGTCTGAATACTTATGTAAATGTGATATCAGTTTTTTCATTTTTAATAAATGTTAACATTTTGAAAAACCTGTTTTTGCTTTGTTATTATGGGGTATTGTGTGTAGATTTAATCAATTTTAGAATAAGGCTGTAACGTAACTGTGGAAAAAGTCAAGGGGTCTGAATACTTTCCTAATGCACTGTATTTTTTGTCAGTTCTGGGCCAATAGCCAAAGTGTATTTTAATAGGGGACACTCCGGTGTCTTATTGTTATAGAAGCCCACATTTAATATTTTCTCTCCATTTTATATGAATATGACTTGGCCTATTAAGCCACACTTTCAGTTTAATGCATGGTAGATTTCTCTCCTGTGCGCTATTTCATGATCAAACAATGAATGAATCCAACAGACGTCTAGTCTGTTTTTGTTTTTTTAAATAAACCAAAAACATGGGAGGCCTAAGGTAATAGTGAGAGAGAGAAAAACAATAGCAAGATATGAGAAATTTGAGCAAACCTTAGTTGAGCAAAGCATTATAAGACAGGAATGATGCATGTATGCAAGGCTGGGGAAAAAAATCCCTCCTTACCATTGCGAACCAAACATCCAAAAGCCTAATCCTACCAACTGAAATATCATAAAAGTATTAAGACAAATTAAAGTTCTGAAGAGTATTTTCCAAACTATTCCAATAAAGTGTTTCATGTCCTAAAGTTGCAGCTTTTAAAATGGAATAATTATGAAAGTCAGAGTCTGCTATTCTCATTCAGATTTATTTTTTATGACAAATATTTGAAATTGAGCAGACAATACCAAGATGGAAAAATCGAATGAGTAAAAACAATTTTTTAGGCAACAGCTGAGGAAAGTTTATGAAAGAAATGAGGCGTTGTTGGCCTAGGCCTATTTCCTTATTATTCTAGCAATGTGCAACCTACATACAATGCATATAGTAGCCTAGGCCAATAAGAGAGGAGGATGAGGCAAAAAGCAAATCAGTTTATAATGATCCAGTTCTGAGGACCAGTGGCGTAGGCACAAATCCATTGATGGCAGGGCCAGCAAAAATGTCGCTGTGGCAAAATTTGGCCACTCATCATTAAATTATCATAAAAGCATAGCTTACCGTATACCTTACTGTAATCGATCACACACAAACCATCTAACGTTATTTTACATTATAGACTAAATAGAGTGCATTCGGAAAGTATTCAGACCCCTTCTCTTTTTCTACATTTTGTTACGTTACAGCCTTATTCTAAAATGGATTACATGCATTTTTTCCTCATCAATCTACACACTACCCCATAATGTCAAAGCGAAAACAGGTTGACATTTTTGCAAATATATTGAAAATAAAAAACAGATACCTTATTTACATGAATGCACTGTAGTCTTGTAGGCCTGTGTAAATCCATTTAACATGCAACTCACATAGACCTACACATAAAACCATAGGCCTATAATTAAGACAGACTAGAACATAATGCCCTGATATAACAGTAATAATCACAATAGGCATCGATAGCCTATATATACTAGAACAGTGGTCACCAACCTTTTCTTAGTCGAGATCGCTTAGAGTCAAAATGCAAGCAGAGTGCAATTATCAGCTGGGCGTGGGAGATCAAGTGCGCCTACAATGTATTGTGTGATATCAATTACACATTTTCAATAGCCTATAGCAGTGGTTTCCAAACTGTGGGGTGGGGTGGGGGGCGCGAGGGTCCCATATATTTCAAAACTAGAGTCTCAAGCTAGGCTAAATGCTAACACTTGTAATAAGTCAATTGTTGTAGCCTATTACTTGCAAGGCACATCGGAGCATAAATGTAAATAACTTTTTATTTATTTTATTTCACTGGACTGATGGTAATGTGTCAGCGGCGGGAGGTAGCGCGTGCGAGTCGAATTGGAGAAGCATTTCATGATTTCTAAAAGTGTTGAATAATAACAGCGTTGTAGTGCTGATCATTGTCTCTGAATGTACTGAAACGGTCTTTAAGGCCCTCGATTAGATCAATGCGATCAGTAGGGAGGACTGGAAGCCCTTCATGGGGAAATCACTGATATCAAATAACGTGGCAAATGCTCCAACATCCTCTTCTATACATGGTCTCTTGAAAAAAATTTGAACCGTGAGCTTAGTTTGGCCATTTTACTTGAGCCTTAGCTAGCTAACAGTAGGTAGCCTACACAGCGATAGCTACTGTTTACTGCACATGGTATCAGTGCGAAGTGACGTGCCAGAACCCGCCCATTATTAAAAATGGATAAGCTGAATTTAAAAGAATTAACTATTCATTTTTATAGTTTTCCCCCCCAGTAAATAATCAAGCATAATTCATTACATAGGCCTAAATACAATTGATTTTATGTACAGCACTCGATTTTATGTAAGACGTCCTTGAGTGTCCTGAAAGGCATCTGCCAAATAAAATGTATTATTAATATCAATATATGTCCCTTTAGTTTTCCCACCCCCTCCCTACTGGTTGCGTATGCATGTTTAGGCCAGTGCTTGACTTGGACTGAAATAGGTCCCGGTACTCATTTTGGGTCCCGGTACCATTTTATATTTAGGTGCAGGAACTCCTTTATTCTTTTGAGCTAATATTGTATAGGAGGTGCAGGAACTCCAGCAGTAGAACATTTGAGGTGCATATACTCAATTCCGGTGAGCTCTTGCCCAAGTAAAGTAGGCTACTGTGTTTAGGTAAAAAGACAATGTCCAGTTTGGAACAAGTGCTCAATCTGATTGCGCTATGCCTACCAATGCCTACACCCCTGCTGAGGACCGCAGAGTTGTTCTGCAGCCCATGATGATTTACAACCAATCACAAGACACACAGCCAGCTAGGTTCGTTGACTGTCACTTTCTCCATCTGCACGCTTAGGCACACACAGATAGGCCTAGGCCACTGCACGTCCTGCGTGCCACAGCGCCACCAGAGTGGAATAGGATATTCAAAAAGATTTGGCTCCACTAAGTATCTTTTGTCAATGTCATGATTTCTCTCGTCCATCCCGTAGCTTGCGAACCAAATGCGTAGCAGTCTTTTTTATTTTATTTGGATGGATGGGGGAGAGACAAGTGACTTCAGCTTTCGGACAAGGAAAAGTGGCTAAAAAAAGTTCATGTCAAGCCCTGCTTTAAGGGTTAGAGTATATACGATTAAGCCAAATGTGCAGGCTGGGCAGGATTTGGAAGCAGGGAATAGTCATTTCCTGGAATGTTTTGCCCCTGTACAATAAGTCTTTTCATTCTGGGCTCTAGGTACTGGGAGGGTCCCAGACCAGCTGGTCAATTTAGACATGAAGCATGGTGTGGAGGCAAAGAATTACGAAGAGGTAAGTACCAACTGCCCATCAGCCTTTCTCCAGGTGCATCTGGATCAGATTTGGTGTGGCTTGCCATGAGTCAACATGAAGGGGGAACATTTTTTATAATGTCAATGATGGTTAAGGTTTCGTCCTCTTTAAAATCTAAGTCCTCTAAAGTGAACTCTGGGGTAAAAAGGCCCTTGCCTTTGAATGAGGACTCAACTCTTTAGCCAGTTTACTTCACCTATTTTGTGGTCCGAGTCCTCTTTGCATTCACATTGCTATGTTTAGAAAGGAACCAATACCTTTTTCCAACATTTACTAAAATGCACTGGGTTTTTACAAAGTGCAGGACAAGCCATTCCATCAGAATGTGTTATTGGACAGCTAGATACACCTACTCACATGTTGGAAGCTAATAGTTAAAAGATAATTATAATCAGAAGATAATATTAACATGTAAGTATTATTGGTAACAGAATAAATAGCAGAACTGCAGTTGAAATAATGCTGTTATTGCATTGATTCACCAAATATGTTGTCTTCTCACATTATTCAAGCCCCACTTTTGAATAAACAATTTATGAAGCTCTTAGCCTATAGATCACGTATTGCAAACAAATAATCTGAACATCGTGTCAGTATAAAACTCCACACACATTTTGTAATGTCTGTGCATCCTTGACAATTTCTAATCAATATCCAAAAACAGCACGTTTTTTTCCACGAACCTGCACATCATCGTCTCTCTTTTGTGGCACCAATGTGAGGGGTTATGGCAGGGGAAACGGTGTTGCAGTAGTCTAGTCTGTGGTCCGGGAATAATGACAAGCGAACTTGGGGAGCTTTGTGTTCACATTGCCTTAAAAAAGGGAACCGGACCCCGGAATCCAAGCGAACCGAACCAGACCACCTCTCGAGATGGTCTCAGTTCAGTTCGCTTCGTGGGCTCTTGAGGGGTCCTAGTTCCTTTTGGAGTGTTCACACTGAGATAACAAAAATTGTCTGAAAGGGACCAAGTGTGAAAACACCCTAAGACTAACTTTCTCTCAACTACATTTCTGAAAGCATTGTAGCTGCTATACATTATGAAGACTGACACATGCTGCAGAAAATCCTCACACATCTTTATCCACTCAATAATACAAGTGTTATTCACTTACATTTTCACGCCATTTCCTACAATATTAAATGTGACTAAGGACATCCAGTGGTCAATCAGGGCTTTATTCTGTATGGTGCGAGAGAATACTTTGTGACACAGTATGCTCAACTTTATAATTCTTGTGCTCTTTTCAGATTTCAAAAGTTGAGAAGCTGAAGCCCCTAGAAGTTGAACTAAGACGCCTCGAGGACTTGTCGGAGTCCATTGTGAATGACTTTGCCTACATGAAGAAGCGTGAAGAGGAAATGAGTGACACAAATGGTAAGTGCTATATGAAAGAAAGTGCAAAGCAACATAATTGGCTACTTGTGGTCCATGTTTTCACTCAACCAGAACATTTTCAGTGTCTTTCATATGTTTCTCAATCTTTTTTTCCTGGTCTTGTGAAAGGAGTAAAACCTTGGTTTAAATAAACGGACACATGTTACTGGGTTAAATAGATTTTCCCTCACATTGCAGAATCCACCAACATGCGCGTCCTGTACTTCAGTATCTTCTCTATGTGCTGTCTTATTGGGCTGGCAACGTGGCAGGTCTTCTACCTGCGGCGTTTCTTCAAGGCGAAGAAACTGATTGAGTAAAGTCATCTACGAAACGGGGACCATGTTTAGGATGTTTGGAAATGGTGTGCAATTTGTGAAACTAGCCTCATCTCAGGCACTCTTTGTTTTGATTATAAATACAACAGAACATACATACATAGGTTTGAGATTTACTCATGCAATATTGTTACTATTTTCATGTTGTAGTAAATCTACTAAAACTGTATGAAAAGAAACGCACTACATTTTTAGTGAGTGCACAAAGCCTTCGTCACACATTCAGCTATTGTTATGTGAAAATAAAATGTCCCCAGTATGTCAGGTACATGGTTGTGTTTTTGATTAAAAAGGCTTTCACTCTGTTCTCATTTTGGGTGTATTTCATATAGCTATAAAGACTATACGGCATTAAAAGAAAGACCAGCAATAACAATAAATTAGTCTCATTTAATGAGGGAAATCTCTTAAGTTAATATTTTATCATTTGACAATGTAGGCACACTTATCTATTTCCATAAAGTTCCCAGGCTTTGTACATTCTTCTCAGTTTTCTGAGGTTTGGTTTGGGTGGTTCCTGTGAAAAACAAGAATATTATTTGGCATGGGGCCAGACTCATTTGTACTTTGTTAACATATCTGTAGTGACAGCATCATTAAACTGTTCAAGTAAAATTCCACCCAAAAACTATATTTTGGTATTTGTTTCATTAGTCCATTGATTATAGTCCCGAAATGTTTTGCACGTCAGCAACCAAGTTGAAGATATATAACTTTCAAAATACAGAAATACAGCAGGTATAAATGCATCATACCATCTGTATTTTTAAAAGTTATGTCTTAAACTTGATTGCTGACATGCAAAGCATTTTGGGAATATATCAACAAATATATTTTTGGGGTGGAGTTTTCCTTTAAGCCGATCCTTAATCAGTGTCTGTCTATAGTGGTACCTCTTGGTCATTCAAGTGAAGGACGTCTACCAGCGGGGCAATGGATGGGCGGCCATGGGCACACTGGAAGGGCAGCTGGCATGAAGATAGAGAGCCTACCAGGCTGCAACACTCCTCCTTACTTAGGCTGTCATTGAATTTGATTGCACCTGTTTGGGCCACAACACCAATAATACTTCACCATGACACTAATTGTACAATAAGGAACTAATGAGCAACGTATACAAAGTACAGTATGACCACTGAATGAAAAAGGACACTCACCATGACATGCAAGGGAGGCGAGGACTTTAAGTACTGTAAGAGGCAATGTCCCTCTCACTCTGCCAGTTGAACGCAGTAACTGAGATGAAGGGAATAAAATATCAGGCCAATAGAAATGAACTCATATCCAAGCACTAATTATTTGACGATATTCATCCTATTGATTGTTCTTTCAAACAAGGCAGCATGGAAAACAATGTATTATCCTTTTAAAGATTTTGCAAGAGTACACAGACGGTATTCATGCTCACCTCAATCTGCTCTTGAAGGTACTCCTGGAGGGCAGTTGCATGAGGTGGAAATGAATAGTAATGAGGTGATAATTGACTCAATAATTAAATATTATAGGGCGCAATTATTTTGCTGAGGAGAGGTGGTATAATTCTCACCTCGACTATGGGCTTGATGATAGAATGCCTCCCCCGGCGAAGTTCATTGCTCTCCTTCTCTGTGAAACACATTGGCACCTTCCCCACCAGCACCTGGGGATTGCCTATCTGCGAGAACTGCATCTCCAGACCAAGGCCCCTCAAGAATGGCTGGCAGGACCTGTCGAAAGGAACACCCCCTAATCCATATCATCAGAGCAGAAGTTATGCCACCACCAATAATGAGCCACTATAGACCCTCGCTCCAAATTAAGCAGTTGAGACAATTCTCTCTAGTTAACAGCTGGGAAAACCAACTGCACATCAACTACATCTCTTTTGGATGGTCAACAGAGTTCCTCTGACCGCTTGTCTTAGAGGCAGCTAAGTACTGACCCGAGCAGCCTCAGCTCCTCATCTGTCACGCTGACCTCCAGTGGTGGGGCTACAGTGGATGAGCACAGCCGTCTCTCCCCCGGTGCCTCTGGGTCATCCTCGTACGAATCTGCATCATTACATAGCAGAATGGGCGGTTACACTTTACACCAATTGCTTGTATTCCTACTTGGTAATGCTGTAATTACTACAGTAACAATACTATATTAACATGTTGTTACAGAGTATTTCAGCATTGTCTTTGTAACTGCATTGCATTCAATTGAGGGTGTGGTGGTCTTACCTGCAACTAGATTCTCAAGACGAACTCTCTCATGCGCAGCGTGTTGATCCACTAGCACTAAAAGGTTCCCTGAAATTCAAAAGGTGTGATCACTTAGAAAGAAAAATTGATGACTTAAAACTGTTTAAACTGAAAATATCTCTCTGTACCATCAGTTTCACTGCAGGCCGCAGGCTCTTGGTCTTGTGTGTTGATAAGACATGCAAGAAACTTCTTATCCACTTGATGAATAACCTACAAGGTAAGAGATACAAATATTTAGCTAGTGTTAGAAATCACTTTATGGTGGGATATAAAGCCACTGTATCAACACACTATCATATGAATCAAAGGGTAATGAGATATTTGCCTTCATTGAGTGAATCATGTCCTTGGAGAAGCGGTATGGAAAGAGGATGTTATGGATCTTCACAGCCAGTCCTTCAGCTTGCACACTTGATATGTCCACACCAACCTGGCAAGACATGGGTTGTTGAAATAAGCAATATTGCGCTTCTATATTTTGAAAAGACAACACACATTTAAGGACAAAAATGTCAGTCAAGACAGCCCACAATTTCTACATGTGAAAATAAAGTCCCTAAATAATGTAATTGTATTTAATTTCTGGACTGAGGCAGGTAGTCTATTTGTACATTCTGGAGTGAAGCGAGAGAATTTGGCTTACCACAGGAGGTCGTGCAAACACAGGGTTAGTCCACTCAGAGTACAGGGAGGACAGTGAATTCGAGTCCTGAATGTCATCTCCTATAAAAATTAAAAACGATAAGATTACAAAGAATATAAAAAATGGGTTAATATGCACTTAGTCTACTGCAGCATTCTGATCTACATTTTTGACAGAAACCTCCATTGTACCTCCATTGTCAGGCCCTGAACTAAGAACGCTCCCTGATTTGGGAAGGAAGGGCAAGACTAGATCCATCTGAAATGGGTAACACCTGTACTCAATCCCTGCAGGGGAAGGAAGGAAAGCCAGGTAGTAAACACTAACACAAGCACCTCTCATAGTCAAACATACATCCTTAAATACACTTTTCATACATAGCTTGCTACTGTCAAACTTGATCCAAACAATATAATGGTCTAAACTTTATAAGTAGGCGTTAGACAGATATGATGAATACATGACAAAAGTTCTTACCTTTTTTGGAGATGACACTGATTGCCATGTTGGTGACATCTGATGTGCAGGACACTTGTGTCTCTTCAGCAGAGGGTGCTTCATATTTACTGAGTCCTGTCACTTTGTTGATGTAAACCAGCTTCCCCACAGTGTCGTCATAGTGATGTAGCCAATCGCTTGATGCTGTTACATTGTCCTCTTCCTTTTCATCTGGCAGAGGATGTGTATTGCAGCCCGGGATGAAGTCACAATTCAGGTCAGTGTCATTGTGTTGTTCTCCATCATTGATGTCTAGAATAGCATTGTTTTCTACAGTGTCCTGGGGACATATATCCTCATTTGAAGTACTCTCTGGAGGATGTACAAATGCACTGCTTGCAACCTCTGTCCTTTGGTGTTTTAAATGAGAGAGTTTAGCAGCCAAAGATATTTCACTGCTCCTGCTCTGAGCGGAGAGAGGTCTTAGTTTGGTAAACATGGGGAGTGTTAATGGACTTTTGTGGTCTTTCATCAGATCCGGACGTGACTCTGTGACATCCCTTTCTCGATCCGCTTTAAGATAGGGCAAAACAGCCTTAGCATTCATAACCAAGTGTTCTGTCTGGGAAGGTGTGGCATCAATTGCTAAATGATTGCTATTAACATCGACAGGAAGTGGTTTGGATTCGGTAGGCTTCCCGTATATTCTTCTGAACCTGTCCAGAGATCCAGCCTCTTTATATAAAGCCAGCTTTTGACATGACATGAACTTAGAAATCTTTGAGGGGATGCCAGTGGGAAGGTCCTTACTTTCTCTGTCATAAACGTGAACATGGCCTGGGCCCTCCACCATAGGCCATTTTCGTTTTGTTGCAAGTTTCTCTCTAGATTCTAACACTAGCCCTTGTCTACTCTGGTGGGACGGACATTTCTGAGAGGGTAAACTGCTATGAATGTATGGATCCGATAGAAAGATTTTTCTGTGTCCACCTGGATTCAGTTCTGTGTCCTGTGGTTGAGGTAGTGTCTGTTTGATAGAGCCCGTCTCTGACTGGATTCCCTGAGTGAGAGAACATGGTGCTCTCACAGTGCATCTTGAGAGGAAAACATGCTCTCTTGCATTATCCTTCATCTCTGTTCCTTCCTCTATACTCATTTTCAGATTTTCACTCTTTGTCTTATAGATAAGACTATGCTGAGATGATTCAGGACAAGAAATAGCAGATTTCAGATGTTCATTGCTTTCATTCTCTTTCGTAATGTCCTTATAAGACTCTGATGAATCTGTAACTGAATCATACTGTAGACCTTCTCGGTCTGTGTCTACTGAGCTTGGTCGACATTGTGGGTTTGTGGTATTATGCTCTTGTTCAAACCCCTTAAGGACCTCCTTGTCCCCTAGTTTGCCTACTCTGTCACCCTGCTCGGATTCAACTCCATCACATGTCTGACAAACACTTTCTATCTTGTCAGCATCTTCTGTGTGCCTTCTATGAACAGCTTCAGATGCAAGTGTCCTTCCAACGTTACATTCTAGGATAACACCCTCCATGTGTGCTTGGACACCTTTGCCAATGGAGTCCTTACCTCCGTCTGTGCTAGCTGTTTGGCCACTAAACACATTCTGACAAACATAGTCCTGGATATCCTCTGGGTAGAGTTCACACACCAAGTTCTCTCTTGTCAGGAATGCTTTCACCGCCTCTTCTATGCAGAGCAGAATACTTTCCCAGTCTTTGAATTCAATCAGGGTCTTGGCGGGCTCAAGGCATATGTCATACTCAGAGTAGTGGCACATGATATTGATGACATACATTGCATGTAGCTCGGCTCCTCTTCTCTGCTTTGGGCTCCTAATAGCAGGAGGTGTACCAGGGCTGTCATTATGCCGACTTGAACCACCTACTTTGCGCAGGAGAAGGTTCAGCAGCTTGTGGATGCGGGTTTTGAGAAGGAGCCTGTCATTCACATAGAGGAACTGTAAGGTGTTGTTGTAATGGCCTTCTCGTCCTAAGTAACCACTTACTTGAAACTGTGCATGGGAGTGGCTGATTTCCCCAAGCTTTTGGGCCCTACCTAAACCATGGATCTGAACAAACCTGTAGTAAGTGTTTCGGGCTTTGGAGAGCTGCACCACCATGGTCCCTGTGCAGTCATTCTTCAGCGTGAAAGAGACGGAGGGCTGCATGAGTGAAATGGCCTCCACTCTCTGCCTGATCCGTTCAAACTCCAGCACGCTATCCATCCTGTTTCTCCTCACTGGCATGTTGTGGAACAAGTTACAAATAACAACAGTAGTCCCTGCAGATGGGCGGGTAGTCTCAGCCTCAAACACGTCCAAGCCGTTACCATCCTTGAAGACTTTCACATGCGTCTTCACAGACATTTTGGTCCTGGATGATATTTCCACCAGCATGGCGAGATTTGCAATGCTGGCAACAGCTTCTCCTCTGAATCCATAGAATTTGAGATTATCTAGGTCCTCTAAAGAACTGCATTTGCTTGTGAAGTATCTGTTTCCTACAGACTCCATATCCTGTATGTCCATCCCTGAGCCATTGTCTATAACCTGCACTTTGAAGGCTTCCATGTCCACCCTCACACCCACGCATGTTGCACCAGCATCAATACTGTTCAGAATAAGCTCTTCAAGACATTGCTGTAATGAACATATTGCGATTCCAGACCGAAGCTTACCTTGAACTTCTTTTGACAAACACTTAATCATATTTATAACGTTAGACCGTGGTTAATTTATAAGGGCTACAATGAGCCATTGATGTGTAACGTTAGCTAGCTAGCCTTCTCTCATTCCTGCATAGCCAGCTAGCCTGTTAACGTTAGCTAGCCAAGATTCAAACCAGTGCTTTCCAACCGAAATTTAGCTAACGTTACAGGTGCGGACTGTTGGTGGGTGTTTTAAATTGATACATACGACCAACGTGTGCAGTCTCTGTCTGGATTTTAAGTAGTTTGGAAACATCGAAGTTCTCGACTTTTACTAGACATGTTCATTCCAGCAGCAACTTATCAAGCGACTGTTTACATCGTGAAGTCTATGGTAGCTAGCTCCACACCGGTTTCTTACCCTGTTTACAGAGAAAACACTGACCCCCTACGGTGTGAAAGACCGTGTTCCTAGAGGACTGAATATTTTTGTGTGTGAAGCAAGATCAAACACGCCTTAAATCATCAAGCAAGAAAGATCAAATGAAATGGTGTTAAATATTTTATTTTAGTTGTATGGATTTTAAATATTACACGTTAACACACAATTCAGAGTTAAGGCCTAACGTACATTTAAATACGTTTAAATGATTTACAGTACATTTCTAAAGCTTTTCATTTCAGGAACTGTAACAAAACAATCCTAATTTTAAATAACAAGAATATCTCACACATTAGTTTGGAATGTAATACTGTATAAAATAAATTCAAAGGAGAACTATTTTGAACGTTGAGTGATCCAAGCTCTTAACATTTTTCTCATTCTTGAACTCTGCTTTGATGATTTGTGACTTGGGGCTCCCAGTGGACTTGAGCCAATCCTGCATCTGTCTCACCTTGTTGCTTGGACCTTGAAGCTGCCCCTGCACAGTTCCTGCCTCTGTGTTCTGCACCCAGCCGACCAAGCCTAGCTTTTTCCCCTCTGCCTGAAAAACACCACCAACCATGGAAGAAGGAGAGGTTATCATTACTCAGGAGTATGTCCTTGAAGAGCCACAAGGTGTACATATTTTTTAATCCAGCTCAGCACTACAACCCCTGATGTGTCTCGGCCAGGACTGCTTACCCCTGCTAGCATGACTGAGTGACAAATAAATTAAATGAAGCAAACCATACAGCTGAAAACATCAATGAGTAGTTATGAAAGTATGCTTATGTCTAATCTACTGACTGACAGTCAGACTGCTAATTGACCATGTGTTACTAAGCATTGGCAGAGGTATGAAACATGACTTTCAAATGACAAATAATAATAATGGCTTATTGGTTTATGTCCTACTGTTGTATTGTATTCTTACCTGAGTGTATTTTCGAAAAAATACACCTTGAACTCTCCCAAATATTTCATAATCTACTGAAATCATCTCTTCAGTAGACATCACAGCTGTCTTAATGAAAAGCGAAGAAAAAAAAAGATATCAATATTTTTGAAGGGTTCAACACAAATGCGAGTAGCTAACTAGATAGTTTGGCCAATCTAACTATGTTTGACTTTGTTATACCCCATTATTAGTCTCGGACATCCCAGACCTAGGGAACATTGCCGGTCTGCCTAGAGACAACCTATTTATTGTAGTTAGCTAGTTGCAGATGTAGCTAGGTTACTTACAGCTTCACCAAAACAAGAGACTGACTCAAACAGCATGCTTAGCCATAGCTTTGGGACACAACGTCTGTGTACACAAACTCCCTATGTTATGTCCCAAAGCTAGCTTAGCCACCACTTTCATTAGCTAGCTAACGTGCTTCCTAACCTGTGATTTTCATTTGCCCCTTATCAGTGCAATTAGAACAAGCGCATAATATTGTAATTGGTTTATATAGCTAGTTTACTAAATCATACCTTAGCTCAGCTATCTCCGAAATGGTTTGACAGTTTGGTGATTTTCATTCAGCCAGCTCTTTTTCGTAACATCAGGTCATTGCTTCCGGATGACAGTACTGCACCAATCAGAAAACGTTAACAAATGACCTTGTTTCTAGGCAACTGATACCAACAAAACAGGTGCCGTGTGTGCATGTTGCTACTGCTGTCAACATTTTCCACATTTTGGAGATATTCACAAGCTAATTTTAAAGAAGATAATTAGTAATGTCTTGGAGTAGCCATTGCTAAGCAGTAGTGAAATGCTGAAAGAGAATCACAAAGAGAAATCTACCAATTCAAGAGGGAGAGCAGCTGGTGAGTCCATCCATGTAACGTTTAGCTAGCTAGATAGTTAACGTTAGCTAGCTAGGCCTAGCCTTATCTTCTCAACTAGTAAAATCAGCAGCTATCTGTCAGATAAGTGAATTCCTAATCAACTATTTCTTTGGGGGTATAATTATGCATCGGTTGCAAATGGCTCCGCATCCTCACCCTGACCCTTTTCTTTTCTTGGAAAAAGAAGTGATATTGGAAAAACTCCCACCTGAGAAGGACTGCTCAAGAGCTTTGCATCACGCTTTGAAACATCAAACCAGCCTTCGAGAGCAACCATTTGAGGATCATAGACCAAGGGAAAGGACTGCCATGAATGAATGGCAGCAACAGTATTCCCAAGAGACATTTCATCAATCCAAATATTCCTCCCAAAGCAGAACACATAACTCAGCAAGAACAAAGTATGTTTACCCGGAAGAACCAGGTGATATTGTATCTGGGAGGAAAGCAGATGGAGTGGACAAGGTATTTTCACTGAAGCCTGTTTACCATAAAAGAACTTTAATCATAGATAGGTTGAGTAATGACGAGGTAGCTTGTAAACCTAATGAGTTTCAAAAACTCCCTCCACATTTTCCCTCACCACAACACAATCATTTCGAGTATGATAGAAGAAGTGGCATAACAAGCCACAGAAAGCCTGCTGAGGATCCTTCACCATCATTGGAAGATAACACAAACAGCAGAAGGGTTGCTGGGTACAAACTATCAAAGGGAGAGCTGCAGAGGCTGGATTATGAGCGGAGGATGGCAAGGAAAATTGAAATGGATAAACTAATACTTCAGGAGAAGCTGTTGAAAACGCAGGCAAAAGTGAGAGAAATGCATCAGAGGGAGAGAGCTGTCTCAGGCGATGACACTAAGAGGGGGGAGTGGCCTATTAGGAGACCAGTGGAAAGAGAAAAGGAGTGGATAGAGAGCAAGGTGTCCTCAGCTGAGCAGAGAAGGGAAAAGGAGAGAGGTCAAGAAATGGAAAGAAGGGAGAGGTTGATTATGAGGGATAAAAGACGGGAGGATATTGAGTGGCAGAGAGAGAAAAAAGAAGAGGTAAATAGGGAGAGAAGAGAGAAGAAGAGGGCACTTGCAGAAGAGTGGGAGAGGTTGGAAAGAATGGAAAGGGAAATTGTGAACAAGCCAGAGTGGAGTAGAGACAGGAGGACTGAGAAGGATCTAGAGCAAGAGAGGGAGAAACATGGAGAGTGGAGCAGGAGGGCTAGAGAGAGGGAGAATGAAAAGGACACAAATTGGGAGAGGAAGAAAAGAGTTGAGAGGAATAGGTGGGAGAGGGAGAAAGTGAAAGAGGGAGAACAAAATAGGGAGATGGTTGAGAAGGAAATAGATTGGGAGAGGGAGTATAAGTGGGAAAGGACTTCTAGAGAGAGGTATGTTTCAGCTGATGATAAGAGGAAGGAGCGTGACATATTTCATCGAGGGCTGGTTCAGGAGGGACAGCTCAAAACTGCACATAGATCAGTACCAGGGAGCAGCAGTAGCATCAATTGTAGAAAGATATCTCGAGAAGCTTCCCACACATCACCCTCAGTTCACCGTCAATCAAGTCGGTTACTGCAAGTGGAACTCAGCCCAGTGGAGAGTGCTGACAATGCTAGCCTCCAGCTCATCCCTTGCAGGATTTGCCACAGAAACTTTGCTGCAGAGAGACTAGAGAAGCACCGTCAGGTCTGTGAGAGGATGCAGCGCTCCAGCCGCAAAGTCTTTGACTCCTCCAAGTACAGGGCCAAGGGAACCGACCTGGAAGAGTTCATGAAAACCAACTCAAGAAGCAAGTCTCCTGAGGTAAGAGTTTTTCCCTAATTTCTTTAACATATTGAAGAAATAATGGTATTTTTCAAATTTCTCATGCCATTTCTCAACCCTGGTTAATATAATTTTGGCTTTGATTTACAGCTAAAGAAGAGCAACTGGAGGCAGAAACACGAGGCATTTATTCGTAATCTACGCCAAGCCCATGTTCCAGCAACAGGTGCTTTGCAGCCCCAACCACCTATCCAAGACAACGATGATTATGTGACCTGCCCTCACTGTGCCCGCCGGTTTGCCCCAGGGCCAGCAGAGCGACATATCCCCAAGTGCCAGAACATCAAGAGCCGCCCTCCACCTCCCCGCCACCGCCGCTGACAAAACCAACTAATTTGCAATGATGTTTATAAAAAGCATTCAAAATTACATTTTACATTTTAGTCATTTAGCAGACGCTCTTATCCAGAGCGACCTACAGTTAGTGCATTCATCTTAAAACAGCTAGGTGGGACGACCACAAATCTCAGTCATAGTAAATACATTTTTCCTCAATAAAGTAGCTATCAGCAAAGTCAGTGCTAGTAGGGGGGAAAAGTAAAGTGCGAATGTTAGTTCACAAAAGGCAATTATTTTGTATATAAATATATTTTTGGGGGGGTGCTGTGGGATTATTTAAGATACTTTTTGAAGAGGTAGGTTTTCAGATGTTAAAACTAAAGCCCTGATGCAATTTGTAACCTCTTTGTTATATAGAATTTGTTACCTAATAGCCTCTGCATTAACTGACATTTTTATAGAGCAAAATGTACAGGTATGGCATTGTAGTTTAGTATGATAATATTTAGTTTAAAATAACTTGTTTGTTCAAATGAACATACTTTTGGAGTATAGTTTTTACACACATTATGTTTCACACTGCCTTTGAAAAGTGGGGGGGAACTAAACTTGCAACTATTTAGATGTCATGCCTAAACTGTAAATACTGTAGAAATACAGTATCAGATACTGCTGAACAAAATTCATGACATTATGCAAAGGGGATAAAAAAATGAAAACCAACAAGAACTATTGGTGGATTTTGAAGCGCAATAAAAAAAAATATATATTTTACTTTGTCTACACTGTTCGGTTTATCACAGAATTCATCAGACCAAAATGGTTTGGGGTTTTTATTTTTACATGAAGCATAAAACAAAGGTGCCTCTATGAATGGTGGAAAGTAAAACCACTGTAACATCTTACACCTCTAAATTGTATAATGTTGCATAGGGTATGCTAAGCCATTTAAACACAGTATAGGCGTAATATTTAAACATCAAACAAACTGTATAAAAAGCATAGCCTATTCTTTTTATTTGTGCACAATTCATCACAACACAATCTTTGGTTTAAGAGTTTGCAAAAGCCCTAGGGAATAAGGACGTGTTTTTCTCTTGCATTGATAAAGGAAATTCCACCAGTGTTGTGTACTGTATCAATTAACTGCACACCAACCAAGAGTTGCAAGCTTATAAGCCGTTGGTAAAGGACACCTAAAACACACATACTGTACACACACCACCCAGAGTAACCAAATACACAAAATGTGAATATTACACTTTTCACATATAGTGTCAAAAGAATGATACATCTATACTCAAACACAAGAGGAACACAAAGACAATATCAACCTGAAAAAGCAACAGTTGAGAAAACATTTAATAGAAAAAACAAAGAATTACCCTGAGGTTTACGAAAACAAGCTTTTCTACATTTTAGGAAGAGTACTGTTTTCCTGACATTACATTTTACAGAAGGAAGATGGTCATTTTATGGTTAATTTCCTCCACTTAAATACTAGTTAAAACAAAAGGTTATCATCTTAAGGCAATAAAAAGACAAGTGATTGTCTATATTGAATCAGTAGTTCGAGTTATGTAAAAGTGAACCTCATACATTTCACACACCATTTTTTCAGATACAGTATAGCAAGCTGTTCATCATATGAAATACACAAAATTCTAAATACTTAAATGTTAAAACTAAATACGTCTTTGGTAAATTAAATGTAAAAGAGACAATATTTGGTATACCTTCGGGCTATTTGAAATACCTTTTAGTTAGTATTTAGACTTTTTTTTAAAAAGCATCACATGAAGAACTTTGGTAGGTTATCAAAAATAGGGCTCAGGGCGTTTGAACTGAAATGAGCAAAAAAAGCAGTACTTGAAATTCACATTGGAACATACACTATATATACAAAAGTATGTGGACACCCCTTCAAATTATTGGATTCTGCTATTTCAGCCACAACCGGTGCTGACAGGTGTATACAATCGAGCACACAGCCATGCACTCTCCATAGACAAACATTGGCAGTAGAATGGCCTTACTGAAGAGTTCAGTGACTTTCAACGTGGCACCGTCATAGGATGGCACCTTTCCAAGAAGTCAGTTCGTCAAATTTCTGCCCTGATGTAAGTGCTGTTATTGTGAAGTGAAAACTTCTAGGAGCAACAACGGCTCAGCCACGAAGTGGTAGGCCACACAAGCTCACAGAACAGGACGATCGAGTGCTGAAGCGCGTCAAAATAATCTGTCCTCGGTTGCAACACTCACTACTGAGTTCCAAACTGCCTCTGGAAGCAATGTCAGCACAAGAACTGTTCGCCGGGAGCTTCATGAAATGGGTTTCCATGGCCGAGCAGCCGCACACAAGCCTAAGATCACCATGCACAATGCCAAGCTTCGGCTGGAGTGGTGTAAAGCTCGCCGCCATTGGACTCTGGAGCAGTGGAAACACGTTCTCTGGAGTGATAAATGACGCTTCACCATCTGGCAGTGTGACAGACAAATCTGGTTTTGGCGGATGCCAGGAGAACGCTACCTGCCCGAATGCATAATACCAACTGTAAAGTTTGGTGGAGGAGGAATAATGGTCTGGGACTGTTTTTCATGGTTCAGGCTATACCCCGTAGTTCCAGTGAAGGGAAATCTTAACGCTACAGCATACAATTACATTCTAGACGATTCTGTGCTTCCAACTTTGTGGCAACAGTTTGTTTCAGCATGACAATGCCCCCGTGCACAAAGCGAGGTCCATACAGAAATGGTTTGTCAAGATCGTTGAGGAAGAACTTGACTGGCCTGCACAGAGCTCTGACCTCAACCCCATCGAACACCTTTGGGATGAATTGGAACACCGACTGCGAGCCAGACCTAATCCCCCAACATCAGTGCCCGACCTCACTAGTGCTCTTGTGGCTGAATGGAAGCAAGTCCCCGCAACAATGTTCCAACATCTAGTGGAAAGCTTTCCCAAAAGAGTGGAGGCTGTTATAGCAGCAAAGGGGGAGTCCAACTCCATATTAATGCCCATGATTTTGGAATGAGATGTTTGACGAGGAGGTGTCCACATACTTTTGGTCATGTAGTGTATTGTATTGACCTGATCAATCTGTCTCCTAGTTAAAACCATGATGTTGTAATAACCACAAGAAATAAGCGCAGGATAAAACGCTTATAAAGATAGTGTAATGAGAACACCAAAACGTTCTTCACTCTACTGTAAGCTGGGCCCACTTGTTATAAAGTGATCATCAATACTAAAATCTGGGACAAAACAACACAATCGTAGACAGTAGTCAGTGACAACATTATCATTACTACCAAAGTATTTACTCATATTTCACATTACATAGTAACACTGCAAGAAGTCGGTTGCTTAATGTTGAATCCAGCCAACATTTCAGTCTGTCTGTGTCTAAATCACTGCATATCAGTTGCTGTAGGCCTACTCCTGTCACCATCTGTTATTATAGATTACAACATGGAAGTGTTCACACAGGGTATCGCTCATGTACACTGAACAAAAATGTAAACGCAACATGCAACCATTTCAAATATTTTACTGAGTTACAGTTCATATAAGAAATCAGTCAATTTAAATGAATTCATGAGGCCCTAATCTATGGATTCCACATGATTGGGAATACAAACATGCATCTGTTGGTCACAGATACCTTAAAAAAAAAAACGAGGGCGTGTATCTGGTGTGACCACCATTTGCCTCATGCAGCGGAACACATCTCCTTCGCATAGAGTTGATCAGGCTGTTGCTCAATGGGTGACATTTCAGGTTAGTATGCAGGCCTGGGACATTTTCAGCTTCCAGGGAATTGTGTACAGATCCTTGCGACATGGGGCAGTGGGTTATCATGCTGAAACATGAGGTGATGGCGGCGGATGAATGGCATGACAATGGGCCTCAGGACCTCATCACGCTATCGCTGTGCATTCATATTGCCATTGATAAAATGCAATTGTGTTCGTTGTCTGTAGCTTATGCCTGCCCATACCATAACTCCACCGCCACCATGGGGCACTCTGTTCACAACGTTGACATCAGCAAACTGCTCGACCACACGACGCCATACCGGGCAGTCTGCCATCTGCCCGGTACAGAAAGAGCACATTTCTTCAGCGTGCCAGTAGCCATTGAAGGTGAGCATTTGCCCACTGAAGTCGGTCACAACGTCGAACTGCAGTCAGGTCAAGACCCTGGTGAGGACGACGAGCACGAAGATTAGCTTTCCTGAGACGGTTTCGGACAGTTTGTGCAGAAATCCTTTGGTTGTGCATACCCACAGTTTCATCAGCTGTCCGGGTGGCTGGTCCTCAGACGATCCCTAAGGTGAAGAAGCCGGAAGTGCAGATCCTGGGCTGGCGTGGTTACACATGGTCTGCGGTTGTGAGGCCGGTTGGACGTACTGCCAAATTCTCTAAAACGACATTGGATACGGCTTATGGTAGAGAAATTAACATTCAATTATCTGGCAACAGCTCTGGTAGACATTCATACAGTCAGCATGCCAATTACACACTCCCTCAAAACTGGAGACTTCTCTTCCATGCGGATGAGGTCAGTGGGCATCCATTTTTCTTCAACCTGTGGCTGTTGCTAATAAGCAGTATCAGCTAGCTGTTCCTAGTTAAGGAGAACACAATTGATTCTCAGACTACTCATCCCTTTTGTAATTCCTTACACTTACTTCTCCCTGCCATTCACCAATGGAACTGGCTTGCTAACATATTCCTCCTCGGTCTATGGTCTAGCCACTCCATCTACAGGACCTGTTTGGATGGACTCAATTGCACAGAGCCACCGCCACTCATTGCCATAGGGTAGGACAGACGCAGTTTTTTGCTCACGGATTTGCCCCTGCAGATCTGTCCCCATCATGGTTGGAGGCTCCTCCCTGTCCCTCCACAGGCCTGTGACCGGATTGGTGGTTGCTGTTTTTTTCAGTTCCTGCCTCTCGCAGGGTCAGACGGTTGATTGCTGTCCAGAGTCTCTCGTTCTCTTTGAGCTGGTCACTGAACTGTTATCAAAGAGAACAACACTTGATAACACTTATCTGTCTGCATAGCAATGGAGTTCATCGGTTTTACACATTTCTAGAATAGGGACTCGAATCACAGTGTTACTACACAAGTTTGCTTACAGGGATCACTACAGGTGCTGGGTTGAATAAAGAGAAAATACAGAAACAAATCAATAAATGTATAATTCTTGTGCAATTTATATCTAGGCCAGTGGAGGCTGCTGAGGGGAGGACGGCTCATAATAATGGCTGGAACGGAGTCAATGGAATGCCATCAAACACATGGAAACCATGTGTTTGATGTATTTGACAACATTCCACTAATTCCGCTCCAGCCATTACCAAGAGCCCGTCCTCCCCAATTAAGGTGCCACTAACCTCCTGTGATCTAGGTCTATAGGCTACATTGAGGTTTTTCTTTCATTCTTTTTAGGCTATCTGGCATTAGTGTGTAAGCCTAAGCTTTAGGGTCTAACTTTACGCGTGCCATATAGCCTACACGCCAAAACCAAAAGCTTTTGGGAATGGGCAGAAAACTTTAATGTCGATCCACTGAGACAAAAAGGCCAATGTCAGAGTTTAATTCAATAAGAGAAAAGCTGTGAAATGGAGAGTTGAAAATAAAGAGAAGGGAGGTGCCAGAAAAGTCATGTTTGGGAAAGATGTAAAAGAGGATGATAGTAGTGCCTATGTTATGTGTGCTGATTGTGAGGTGGTATACAAATTCGACAGTCACAAGACGGGACTTCAAATAGGCCTATGGCACGTCAAGGGAACTGTAGCCTACTGTGTAGGTATATAACCTCTCACATAGTCTTAATATTAACAGGAGTGGAGAAATACGATCTCTTTCTTTCAGCATCTTGAAATAATGCGAATGTGCAGTTAGGGACAGTCTGTAGAGGTCCTATCTTAATCATCATCATACAAGTTGATAGTATTTCAACAACATAAAATATGCATCCAAGCGGGACTGAAATCTTATCAGAAACATGTTTGGTTTGCTCTGCGAAAGAAGCAGAGATGACAGAAAACTTTACCAATGTCAACTAGATTGAAGCATTCATTCTACCATTTATGACATTATTCTGGTGAGCAAGGCTTTATTTAGTCTTCAAGGGCAACATGTAATGACAGAGGAGAAGCTGCATGTATCTAATTACAGACATGTTGACTAACAAATAGCCTACGAAAATGTCGGAAATTATAAGCAGAAACATATTTAAATTAGGCAAAAAACAATCCTCCACCCCATGTAAAAATTGTTCTGCCTTCTCTGACCTGTAGCCTACAGTGCATTTTAGATATTTGTGGGTTAGGGTCAGGTGCGGGGCCTCAGATTTTCACTTTATCAGATGTAGTCGGAAGGTTGCGGATGGATTATTAGCAATTGTGGGCGGGTGCAGGTGAACAAACAGCTGACCTGCGCACCACTAGTCTATAGTAAGTAATGCTTACCTGCTTCTGTAACAACTGGATCGTTGCCTCTTAACGATTGACTTTCTCTCGCAACTGTAAAAGAAAATGGCAACAACTACAGAGAAACACAGAACAATTTACAGTTACAATGTGTGTAAGGGGTTATCTTGCACATACAGTTGAAGTCGGAAGTTTACATACACTTAGGTTGGAGTCATTAAAACCTCAGAATAAAAAATGGTAGACCTCCACAAGTCTGTTTCATCCTTGGGAGCAATTTCCAAACACATGAAGGTACCACATTCATCTGTACAAACAATAGTACGTAAGTATAAACACCATGGGACCACGCAGCCGTCATACCGCTCAGGAAGGAGACGTGTTCTGTCTCCTAGAGATTAACGTACTTTGGTGCGAAAAGTGCAAATCAATCCCAGAACAACAGCAAAGGACCTTGTGAAGATGCTGGAGGAAACAGGTACAAAAGTATCTATATCCACAGTAAGACGAGTCCTATATCGACATAACATGAAAGGCCGCTCAGCAAGGAAGAAGCCACTGCTCCAAAACCGCCATTAAAAAGCCAGACTGCTTTGCTGGGGAGTGGGAGTGCTTTGCTGCAGGAGGGACTGGTGCACGTCACAAAATAGATGGCATCATGAGGAAGGAAAATTATGTGGATATATAGAAGCAACATCTCAAGACATCAGTCAGAAAGTTAAAGCTTGGTCGCAAATAGGCCTTCCAAATGGACAATGACCCCAAGCATACTTCCAAAGTTGTGGCAAAATGGCTTAAGGACAACAAAGTCAAGGTATTGGAGTGGCCATCACAAAGCCCTGACCTCAATCCTATAGAATATTTGTGGGCAGAACTGAAAAAGCATGTGTGAGCAAGGAGGCCTACTGTCACGGATTCAGCCGAGGCTGCTCCTCCTCCTTGCTCGGGCAGGCTTCGGCGTTCGTCGTCCCCGGAGTACTATCTGCTGCCGATCGATGTTCCGGTGTTTGTCTTGTTTAGTCTTTATTGTGTACACCTGTTTCCCATTATGTTTGATTGTGTTCCCTTTAATACCCTCTGTGTCTCATTGTGTATTGTGCGTTATTGTTTTGGTCTTTGCGGCAGTTGCCCTTGTGTGCGGGTTTTGTTATTTTCCCTCGCTGTTCGAGGTTGCCAGTGTACTTTGTTTTGTTGCACTAGTATCTAGTAAAAGTTCTGCCAGTAGCTCGGTGTCCTGCTCTTGACTTCGCCTACAGCATACACGTCGCCCTGACACCTACAAACCTGACTCAGTTACACCAGCTCTATCAGGAGTAATGGGCCAAAATTCACCCAACTTATTGTGGGAAGCTTGTGGAAGGCTACCCGAAATGTTTGACCCAAGTTAAACAATTTAAAGGCAATGCTACCAAATACTAATTGAGTGTATGTACACTTCTGACCCACTGGACATGTGATGAAATAAATAAAAGCTGAAATAAATCATTCTCTCTACTATTATTCTGACATTTCACATTCTTAAAATAAAGTGGTGATCCTAACTGACCTAAGACAGAGACATTTTACTAGGATTAAATGTCAGGAATTGTGAAAAACTGAGTTTGAATGTATTTGGCTAAGGTGTCTGTAAACTTCCGACTTCAACTGTACCTCTGCTACCTCATTGCTTGCTCTGCAGCAAGTTGGCGCCTCCCCTTTCTTACAGGTTCCTGCCTCCTCCAACCTGTTGACCCTGTCACAGCCCATACGAGCGGTCTAAAGAAATAACACATGGTTAGGTTGAGACATTAGCATGGGGATGTAGTCAGGTGTCGAGACTACAGAAATGCGCTGGTCATTACCGAGAGGCCTTTCTCAGTGGCGGCAGCAGCGGCTGCAGCCTTCAGCTCCTGCAGCTCATCGTAGGGCAGTGTGACGCTCTCGGAGAACGAAGGAGCCAGTGGGCCAGGTATGCAGCCTCTGGAATCCTCTGGCATTGGGATGAACTCTGCATCCTGTAGCTCCTGTTAGGGAGGATGGACAGGGAGGGACACCAACATTCAGTGGCCGTAACCCTCTCTGTTTAGGCTTTCATTATGCTTTGTGGTTTTGAGTACAAACCTGGCGCAGCCAGAAGGTGCAAGAGCTGTCGCCAGTCTGGTCCGTCAGAGACATCATGGAGGTCTCGATGTGCCGCTCGTCTGTGTCGGCCTCCTTAGTGCCCCCAAATCGCCCTTCACGTAGCCCTGTCTCTGAGCCTGGCTCACTCTCCAGATCCACAGTGGAGGGAGACGCCTGGCCCAGCGTGAACCGACAAACACCAGGACACACCATGTGGTCAGTACAGTACCACACTGGTATAAAACTATTGACCTGTTCAGATTGTGAATTTAATGATAAAGTAACCAGAGAGCCCATGGCCATTGAAAGTCCACTGCTGTTTGAGCGGATTTAGAGTTGAGAACCTTTTCTGTAAACAGGGAACAGAATCAATCAATCTCAACTGAATTTTTCAAGAAATGATTAGATGGTGTTAGAACAGAGGTAAGTGGCTAGTGGCTAACCTATGATTAGAATGGTGTGCCAGCCGCGACAGGAGAGGTCTGGCACATGGTGGAGGGAGCCGAAAATGGGTTGTGGTAAAGCAGGGCAAATCGTGCCGAACCCCTTATCAGCGGGCATTCCCAGGCGTCCGTTTCCTGCGTTTCCCCAGGCAAAGATCTGATTGTCTGAAAGGATGAGAGAGAAATAATCTATTGATCCACAGACAATTAGCCTATATCCTTCCAGCACCTAAACAGGGAATCTACCAGTACTACCGGTATTCTCCATTATTTTGAGTCCTAGTTATGTAGGTCAGAGCAGAGGACTCCCAGCTAACAGAATAAAGCGAAGAAAAAAACAAGCACCACAACTCTAAGTTGAACATACACATTAAACAGCATATTCAACAACATGATACAACAGAGAATGTTCAAGTTTAGTTGTTTTTCTGACCCTCTGTGGCTGCGATGGTGAAGCCATCTCCGCAGGACACTTTGCTGACCACCTTCCCCCCAAAAGACCCCAACAAGAGCTGGATGCCCTGGTGCTTCTTGAAGTCCTTCACACCAAGCTGACCGTACTTGTTGCACCCAAAGGTCATCAGCCGCCCCCACTCTGCAAGGTCAGAGTACAGTCAGAACCATGTCTTGATATAAGATTATATTTCCTTCAATTGGGGGCTCAGAAAAAGAGAGGAGAGTCTGGTCACTGTACCGTCGATGGCAGCAGTGTGGGTCTTCCCAGCGGAAATTACTTGGATCTTATACATGGCCAGCTGCTTGACCAGAGTGAGTGTGGTGGTGTATGGTATCCCCTGGTAGGCCTGACATTGGAGAAGGAGGAAAACTTAAATTCTCCACCATTAATTGCGTTATTCCTTATTTTAAAGCAATGAGAAGAGCCTGTGAGTGGATCCTAGTATGTCGAATGTGATGCTGTACCTCTCCAGGAAGATTTTTGAGGCCAGAGACTCCCAGGTTTAGACCCAGCTTGTTCAGATCGTTGTTCCCACAGGCCAAGACTTTGCCAGATTCTGTCAGGAAGAAGGTTCCGTCAAGGCCACAGGACACAGAGGAGATAATGGCTCCTTTGGGTATCTCCACCTGTGAATGCCAGACGATACACAACATTATGCTTCCTATCGATTTAAATGGTGGATTCAAACACATTTTCATTCATTTGTCTGGACGATAAAATTGAGACGTCATTGCCCCTTTCCCCATGAGCAGAATTAAATTATATGTGTTCAAGCTCTCTGCTGAAAACTAGAGTGCAGGATCTTACTTGCATGGGGGAGTTAAAGTCATCCTCACAGTCCAGGCCAAGACGCCCTGAGGAAAAGGCCAACTTCATAAATTAATTATGTTCTGCATCATCATAGCTCCATCAGACATACAGTACTGCTCTGTAGCTCAGTATACACTGCTCTGGTACATACCATGCTCTCCACAGCCCCAGGAGTAGATGTCTCCCCTGTGGGTCCGCACCACCACATGGCTGTCTCCACAGGACACCTGCCTGACAGGCCGCTCCTCAAAGAACTCCAACAGCACGGGCTCTAGGACCTCCCTGCCCTGCTCGTTCTCCACTCCTATACAGCCATAGTAGTCAGAACCAAACATGTACATCTGGTCCTCATCTGAAACTAAACACATCAACAGCATGTTGTCAAACTAGACCAAATCTTAATTTATGGCATGAGGTTGCAAATTGCTGTCTGAATTGTTTATCTGTGTTGTAAAAAGACAAAAATGGAGCCCTCCAACTGTAAAGATCCTATTCTACTGGCACAGAAGTAGTGCTCCACACAGACACACCACTCACCACTGACACAGGCAGTGAAATCAGCTCCACAAGCGACCTGACGGATGGCCTTTCCCTGCAGCCTCTCCACCTTGCGTGGCTGCCGGTACGAGGCCTGGTCCCCATGGCCCAACTGGCCCACCATCTTGGCCCCACCTTGGACACTCTAAAATGAAACCATGACATCAAAAGGGCACAAAAACAACTTTAAAGTGCTTGAAATGTGTTTTCTGCCTTGGACTTAAAGGAACAACATAGTACTCACAGCCAAAGTGTAAAGCTCTTTCTCCACGGTAACCACAGCAAAGTGGGTCTCCCCTGCACACACATGCTGGGCACTGCTGCCACCTTTAAAGGCGTCCAATTTCTGGGGTGTGAACTTTCCTCCTCCCTAGAAATACACCTCCCTAGAGCGTGTTGTCACTACAGCAACAGGGCTCTCAGTCGTTGTGCTCAACCTATGGACAAGTCACAAAATAACTTAATAAAAATATATACATTTACAAATACCACATTTGCATGATTAGGTGAATGTTTTGAACATACTTGGGTTTTTTCATTGCTGAGTTCAGCAAGGCTACTCTATCCTCAAGCTCCCTGAAACAAAACAAAATGTAATTTAGTCGAATAAAACAGCTGTTTTGATGATGTCTCTTACTACACCTATATTTAAGCAATCACATCATCTTCTCCATTTAGGCCATATCTTTCAGACATCCCATCACATTTTCTCCCCCTTCACCAGACTCACTGCCTGCGGCAGGAGATGATTGGCTGGTCCAGAATCTCATCAGCTGTGGGTCTCTTTTCTGGATCCTGCAAATAAATGTATCAAACATTACATTTGTTACTTTACAATACCATCCATCACACATCTTTCTGCATATAGAGAATCCGTTGTCATATCTTACAGCAACTGATTCCCTACATATGTACAGTGCATTCGGAAAGTATTCAGACCCCTTGACCTTTTCAACATTTTGTTACCTTACAGCCTTATTCTAAAATGGATTAAATAAAATAAATTCCTCATCAATCTACACACAATACCCCATAATGACAGAGCAAAAACAGTTTTTTAGATTTTTTTGTAAATCTATTGGGAAAAAAACCTGGAAATACCTTATTTAAGTATTCAGACCCTTTGCTATGAGAATCAAAATTTAGCTCAGGTGCATCCTGTTTCCATTGATCATCCTTGAGATATGTCTACAACTTGATTGGAGTCCACTTGTGGTAAATTCAATTGATTGGACATGATTTGGAAAGGTACACACCTGTCTATATAAGGTCCCACAGTTGACAGTGCATGTCAGAGCAAAAACCAAGCCATGAGGTCGAATAAATTGTCCGTAGAGCTCCGAGACAGGATTGTGTCGAGGCACAGATCTGGGGGAGGGTACCAAAACATGTCTACAGCATTGAAGGTCCCCAAGAACACAGTGGCCTCCATCATTCTTAAATGGAAGAAGTTTGGAACTACCAAGACTCTACCTAGAGCTGGCCGCCCGGCCAAACTGAGCAATCAGGGGAGAAGGGCCTTGGTCAGGGAGGTGACCAAGAACCCGATGGTCACTCTGACAGAGCTCCAGAGTTCCTCTGTGGAGATCTCTGCAGCACTCCATCAATCAGGCCTTTATGGTAGAGTGGCCACTCCACAGCCCGCTTGGAGTTTGCCAAAAGGCACCTGAAGGACTCTCAGACCATGAGAAACAGAATTCTCTGGTCTGATGAAACCAAGATTAAACTCTTTGGCCTGAATACCAAGCGTCACGTCTGGAGGAAACCTGGCACCATCCCTACGGTGAAGCATGGTGGTGGCAGCATGATGCTGTGGGGGTGTTTTTCAGCAGCAGGGACTGGGAGACTAGTCAGGGTCGAGGGAAAGATGAACGGAGCAAAGTACAGAGAGATCCTTGATGAAAACCTGCTCCAGAGCGCTCAGGTCATCAGACTGGGGCGAAGGTTCACCTTCCAACAGGACAACGACCCTAAGCACACAGCCAAGACAACGCAGGAGTGCCTTCGGGACAAGTCTCTGAATGTCCTTGAGTGGCCCAGCCAGAGCCCGGACTTGAACCCGATCGAACGTCTCTGGAGAGACCTGAAAATAGCTGTGCAGCAACGCTCCCCATCCAACCTGACAAAGCTTGAGAGGATCTGCAGAGAACAATGGGAGAAACTCCCCGAATACAGGTGTGCCAAGCTTGTAGCGTCATACCCAAGAAGAATCGATGCTATAATCGCTGCCAAGGGTGCTTCAACAAAGTACTGAGGAAAGGGTCTGAATACTTATGTAAACGTAAAAATTTTTTTGTTTTAGATTCATGCCAGCAAACCCACTACACAACACAACACTAAACAATACGTTAACTGCACTATAACGGTGAGAAACGGTGCCCACACACTGTTAGGGCCTACATAAAGCTGTCCCAACAGCAGAGTACCAACAGCAGTCCCAACACCTTACCACTGCTACACCTGGCTATCAGCTGAGCCTTGTCTGGCAGTGAAACAGTTAATTCAGCCTCGTTTACTGCCTTTTAAGAAAACATAGCTGATATGGCTGACTTGCTTAAACAAATGTGGTTTCTACTGACAATTGAGATGTACAAACTATGGCATAAGGGGACGACGAGCAGATAAGAGGCAATTCGTAATTTCGATTAAGACGTTAATGAGCGAGCTAGGACAGACGTAGTCAATTTAACTATTTGTTCAGCACTTTTGAAATGTACAGCGACAGAATTCAGAACATGGGCCATTCTTACAGTATTCTCCCTGCTGTACACCAAGTCAGAACCGTAGGATAAATAAAGGGGGAATATAAGCAGACAATGAAAGCTCTCACAATATTAGATGATTACATTTCTCTACATGTGCACCACCAAGTCAGAATAGTAGGCGAAGTTAGGAGGGGAAACCGTACCAAATTATTAGGGTGAGGCATATAGGCTATTAACAGCTTACTACACAACATACACTTAGTATTACTTTCTTAGCTAAAGTATACATATCTCCCTGGCATATTACATCATTTATGCAGCAGTATACAATACATTTTTGGAATCACCTTGTTGTGCTGTGCTCACTTGAACAGGAAGGTGGTGCGGCGGTCCTTCGTGAGCAAATTTAGTAATCAAACTTTATCATCAAAATCTGGCATTCTCTGGATTTATGGTGCTTTCAAGACAATTGGGAACTCTAAAAAAAACAAGGTTGAATCATGATGATGTCAGTGATCTTCAGGTCGGAGCTCTAGAAAGAGGCCTGAGTTCCCGACTTGCAATTTCGAGTTGGATGACCGTTCAAAGTGTATTTTCCCATTCAGAGCTAATTTCTTTCAGAGTTCCCAGTTGTCTTGAACTCACTGAAATCCGATTTCCCAGTTCTGAGTTTCCAGTTGTTTTGAGCGCGGCAGAAGTCATGCTGGATTCACACAATGGCCAATGTTGAATGTTTATCCTTTCAAGCTTGAAAAAGAGACCCTTAAACCCACACTTGGGACCACACACCTACTCCACTGAATAGCAGGATAGTGATTGCTTTGCAATGCTTGCAGTTAGCCATTGATTCCTTCCAAACCACTCAGTGTTGAATTTGTGATTTCCCAACTTGTTGTGTAATGTTTATATCCAATAGCCGATGAGCACCGATACGTTTTATCTATAATTTCTCTTCATTATTTCTCTTCATATGACTAAAAAGGATTTGCTAGTAGATTGTCGACTTGATTCATGATGATGATTGCTAGCTTGCTAGCTAAGACTTGTCACGATCGTCATTTGAAGAAACGGGCCAATGCGCAGCGTGGAATGCGAACATATTTTATTTATATTTCACCACACGAACAAAAACAACAAAACGATACGTGAAGTCCTTGGGTACATACACAAACCAACACGGAACAAGATACCACACCACACAAATGCCAAACGACTACCTAAGTATGGTTCCCAATCAGAGACAACAAGCAACAGCTGATTCACGTTGCCTCTGATTGAGAACCACCCCGGCCAACATAGAAACACATCAACTAGATCCTGAACATAGAAACACAAAACATAGACTCTACACACCCTGGCTCAACATAACAGAGTCCCCAGAGCCAGGGCGTGACAAGACTTTGAAAGTATGATGTTGACATGATCAGTCCAATCAAAGCTGCTGTAGATATAACATGATTTGACGTCATTTTTTCTGTGGCCAATGACCTTGAGCCTTCTTGGATGCGCATTTCTAATGTAACTCAATGGCAGCACCCAAGGGGCTTGAATATTTAAGCTCTACCCTTAGATTTGGCGGTGACGTAGTGTCCCCATGAGTGACAGAACACTGAGCCAATCACGGCGCAACTAGAGAACCACCACAGAAAGCACAGAGCTAGGCTGAAACACCTGCATTTTGGAGCTGCCTTACTCAAGAAAGCAAAAAAGAGACCAAGTTTGAATGCGGCTTTATTAACTCAAATGTATTGCTGTTGTTTTTTTACATAGTTTGCAAACTGATATGTGACACGCATTAATGCCAAAATAACATGCAAAGCAGGCATCCCAAAAATGACGGGTCGCCACTGGCTGTGATATGAAATATATAATTTTACTTGTCACCGAGCTGCCTGTAAGCTACTGTCAAAATCACGGTAACCCCTTTACAGTATAGAGCCTTTCTATGATCATACATACTGTATCTCTGATGTCAATCCTGTCATTGCACAAATAGACACACACACACACACACACACACACACACACACACACACACACAAACATGCAGACACACAAACAAGCACACACACTATATTGACACAGTACAATGTTTGAACAAACTCCATAGAGAGATACAACCATCCCCACTGACTGGAACAGATCATTTTAAACAAGGCAGACAATTCAATGGCGAATTCAGAGACATATACAGAAAATTGGTTAGACACAGATGATAACCAAGACCAGAAAGCAGGTACAGTAAACAAAAACATTTTTCTAGTATAAACTAATATGATTTAGATATCAAGTCAATGTGTTAACCTTTTGCTTCAGTGTATTGTGACTGTACATTTTTGTTTTTATATGTTTTTGTTTTGGCTTTGGTAGAGCTCTTTGAGACAATGTGGACTTTGACACTGCCCACCTCTAAAAGTGTATCCCTGATCCAGTTTGTGCAAATCAGAATTTTTTGTATGCTGTCTGGAATGTTTCACTCAAATCATTCAGTGAAAACATTGCTATTTTGTAGACTTTATAACTTGTTTATAACCTCTACACTCTGATACTGACGGAAATTATCCCTTTCAGTGTCCACATTCACAGTAAGAGATGGGCCCAGTTTTCCACAGTACCGATTGGTTACAATATGTTTGGGGCTACTTAGTGCTCTTCTACTGATTGTTGCCATTGTCCTGGGAGTATACTGTGAGTGTAACCATGTCCAAAGATAAGTCTCAATACTAAGTATAGTAATCTCGCACCCTCAATGTACATGGTTACAAAGAAAAAACGTAAATGTACTACTTTGTTCATGAAAGGTGTTTTTTCTCCCTAGTGATATTGGGTCCCTCTTTGATCCCCACAGGTAATAAAGTCAGTGAGAGTCATCTTCCACTATATCGGAATTTGACACAGATCAGCAGTGAGCTGGAGCAACTCCGAGCCGTCCAGAACAATGTGATTCATGCTAAAGAGGAGGCCCAGAGAAAGTTACACAGAGAGCTCACTAGCCTTCACCAACTAGAGATAGAATTACAGCAACAGACGACCAGCGTCGATAACTTTCAGGCGCAGATTGAGAGCCTTCGCAAGGAGAAGACGCAGATGCAGTCCCAAATATCTTCGCTTGGTGAGATAACTTTTTGTGAGACACCCAATTTAGGATTTGATCTACCGATTAGTAAAAACAAACATAATATGTGTCTTTACAGAGGTAAGCTGTGGCCTATGTTTGCCAGGATGGGATCTGCTAAACTCAACGTGTTACTACTTTGCCATTTCTGATGCCATTGAGTCTAGAAGCTGGGGAGAGGCCAGAAAAGAATGTTTAAGTTATGGAGCTGACCTGGTTGTGGTAGATAACTGGGAGAAGCAGGTAAGACATATACCGTCAGTGTGAATCTTGTTACTGTAACTGGGAGCGTGATGTTTATTATCATATTTTGTGTGACTGAGGGCATTGTAGTGGGAAAGTAAGTACTGTTCCAAACTTGGCATTATTAATAATTTAACCAACCTAATTCAACAGCTTGTTTGTGCATGACTCTCTCTCTTTCTCTGTGTGTGTCTGTGTGTTTGTGTTTTCTCAGGAGTTTATCAATAAGGCAATACAAGCATTACGATACGGTTCAAGAGTCTGGCACCTAACAGGGTTCTGGATAGGACTGAAGGAGGAAGGGATACAGAGGGGACCTGGACATGGCTTGATGGGACTGAGCTGACTCAGGGGTAAGAGCTGCACAAGTTATTGGAATTGGTTTGTTATGTAGCTAGTATTACCATTGACTATTACTACTGTCCTATTACCTATTACGTAGTCTAAAAATGAACCTTGACCTTTGTTCAAGGTACTGGGCAGATGGGGAGCCTAACGACTATAGGAGAAATGAGGACTGTGCAGCCATTTACTCCAACTATCCCATGAGGACTTGGGATCCCAGGAAGACTTGGAACGATGCCCCATGTAGAAATGCACTGAAATGGATATGTGAAATGAAAGCAAAGGCAGCCCAGGAATTCAAGTTGTAATCATTTGTCTCATGAGTGTTGCCATATGCAAAGACACTACATGTTAAATGAAGTTTTTTATAACAAAAGTAAATGAATGGTTATTAAACTCTTCTAATTTAGCCATATTGGGCAATTATATAACATCACTGGTTGTTTGATGATCTTTCTGTCACACACACACACAGTCTTGTACAGCTAACCTTGTGGGGACACAATTCCGCTAACCCTAAACCTAACCCTAACCCGTACTCTTACCCTAACCTTAACCCTAACCTTAACCCAAAAACCTAACCTTAACCCTAAACCTAGCCCTAGCTCCTAACCCTAACATTAAAAATAACCCTAGCTCCTAACCCTAAACCTCATTCTAACCTTAATCCTGAACCCCCTAGAAATAGCATTTGACCTTGTGGGGACCAACAAAATAAAATGTCCCCAGTTGGTCATAGTCATCATAGTATCTGACTGATGCATGACTGCACAAAATAAAATGTTTCTGAGTGGTATTTTCAGGTGCTCTGTGTGGATTGACAGGTCTGAGGCTGTTGGTGGGATAATGCCGTTGTGCACTCTAAAGATCATGTCTGTCTATTCCAATTTGGAGACTCCAGAGTGCATGACTGTTTATTTAGCATCTTCACTAAACTACACCAAGCTTTAGAAATAGAAAAATAAGAAAACGTGTTTTTGGTTTATTACAGTTTTTTATTTATTGCTAACAAGCATTGTTCAATACTGCGGATACATGTGCAAAACTCTAAATACAGTTATCACAACAACACTCTATGTGGCAACCTGTGGATTATTTGTAATTGCTTTGATACAAAATGTATTCAATGACATCTTTCAAATTACATAAATACTTGTCTCACAAAAACACATTTACCAACAAAACTCTATATATCTACAGACCATTTTGCAAATGTTAAGATACCCTTATCAAAACTGTTAAACTCAAGTTCAAAAGCTACTGAAAATTGAATTAGACTGCATTTTTTTACATAGCTACAGTAAAAACAAAATAATAATAATAACTCTTAATTATTCACTGCTGATTTTCATTCTACATTACGTAATTGAAGACCTACCCAGGTGTTTTCCATTTTTATGTCATTACCATCTCTACAAAAGGGGACATCTTTGGAATATATTTTACATAAACATGGACCCAGCCAAAGATCGTGTAGTGGCTTACAGAGGTGGAAGAGTTGCCGGGAGAGGCAGAGGATTACGTATCCGTGGTGGAAGACGACTGAGGGGAAGACCCAGAGTTGTAGTGTCAGATGAGATTAGGGCTACAATCATCAATCATTTTGTCAATCATGGTCTATCAATGCGAGATGCTGGTCTCAGAGTGCAGCCAAATTTGCAACGCTCAACTGTGTCATCTATTATAAAAACCTTCCAGCAAACTAACAGGTAAGATGTGCATTCTGCATGGGCATCTAACTGTACTGAATATTACTGTAGAGTAGTAAATCGAGCAAAAGCTCTCCGAACCACTTGTGTGTGATTTTATTTTTGTTTTAGGAGCCAACGGTTACCAAATGGAGGGGGGAGAGGTAGGATTTTCTCTGCTCAGCAGGAAGCTGTAATTGTTGACATGGTCATTAGCAACAATGCCATAAAACTCAGAGAAATTCAAGAGAGAGTGTTGGCAGACAATAATACATTTCAAAATGTTGAAAGTGTAATCACAACAATCACCAGAGCACTGCACACACAGCAGTTACAGTATACTGTAATGTAAACTACTGTTATAGAATAACTGTTATGTTGCCCTGTGGATTTACAATATTTTAGAGTCATGGGGCTTGAAGCCAGGCCAAAACCCCACATGTTCGTCTTTGTGGATGAGGCTGGTTTTAACATGGCCAAAACACGCCGACGTGGAAGGAATGTGATTGGGAAAAGAGCAACAGTGAATGTCCCGGGCCAGAGGGGTGCCAACATCACAATGTGTGCCGCAATATCCTCTGAAGGATTGCTGTTACATAAACTACTAATTGGGCCATACAACACAGAGCGCCACATTTCATTCATGGATGACCTCTATGGAAGGCTTTTGCCAGGTGAAGAAAGAGGGCAAGTCAGAAGAAATATGGAAACCTGGGTGATTGTATGGGACAATGTGGTATTTCACCACTCCCATGCAGTCACAGTGTGGTTTGCAGCCCATCCCGGGATGGTGTTACTTTTCCTCCCCCCTTACTCTCCCTTCCTCAACCCCATAGAGTCATTATTTTCCTCATGGAGGTGGAAAGTTTATGACCACCATCCACATGATCAAATGTCACTCTTGGATGCAATGAATGCAGGATGCCTGGATATCGCTGCAGAAGATTGCCAGGGATGGATCAGGCATGCAAAGAGATTCTTTCCCAGGTGTACTGCACGAGAGGCCATACGTTGTGATGTGGATGAGAACTTGTGGCCCAATGCAGCAGACAGGGTTGACTAGCATTGTTATATATCTGTTTCATTTGGACAATATGCTATGCATATTCATAGTGTGTATACACTTTATGTTTGTTTAACAGTACTGGAATTATTTATTTTTGTGGATTTTGGAATTACTCAGCAAAAAGCAAAATACAGTAATTTGCAGAAATACAGTAAATTGTATTGAAGCATATTGCAGCTGTAATGAATACTCGGACAGAGTGGTAAGATCCAATCGCAGAATAGCGATGCTTTATTAGAGTACAGACAAGGGTATAGCTTAATCGTGGTCGGGCGGGCTGTGGTCAAAACCGGGCAAGGCATAGACAGGCAGAGGTACCAAAGGAGCGGGCTTAGTCGTAGTCGAGGGCACAGGCACAGGATCAGAGCACGGTAATCACTGGGGTAGACAAGCAGAGGATTAAGCAATTCGGGGAGTCAAACAAGGCACAGGTCGGATACACGGTTAATCAAAACAACAAACTCTCTCTCTCTCTCTCTCTCTCTCTCTCTCTCTCTCTCTCTCTCTCTCTCTCTCTCTCTCTCTCTCTCTCTCTCTCTCTCTCTCTCTCTCTCTCTCTCTCTCTCTCTCTCTCTCTCTCTCTCTCTCGGAACAAAACGCTTAGCAAGTCACAAAGGAACAATACCTCGCACCGACTGAACCTCTGAGCACACCTTATATCCTACCCTAATTACGGACAGGTGTGCTCAGAACTCAGGTGAACCAGATCGAGTCTGATGACTCCCCCTCTCTGTAGATCGGGGAAGTGTCAGACTCTGTCTAGACCCAGCCAACCCCCGATCCCTTACAACAGCCTTTCTGCTTTATTTCTTTACATATATTGCAGGACATTCTATACAGTACAGGTTTGCCACTCTTCTTTTGTAAAAATGACTGTTGGTTCATCTAAAAAACTATGATATTAAAGACAAATTGACACATTTTCAAGTGGTAGCTGTTTTTAGAGTTTTGTAGGTCATGATACTATGAATGACAAAGTGTGCATGTTGTGAGAGACTGTTAGCTTTCATTTGGTAGAAAGATTTGCTTTTGAGACATGTAGGATGTGCATTGCCAAGTTGCATGTTGTTTTGATAACTGTATTTAGAGTTTTGCACATGTATCCGCAGTATTGAACAATGCTGGTTAGCAATCGAAAAAAAAACTGTAAAGAAGGATCAAGATTAACTGCATTCTGAGGTGTTGTCTTGGTTCCAGACACTAGCATAACAAACTGTGATCCCAATCAATAGGAAAAACTAAATGTTGCCACCCACACAAACACTCCTTCCTCCACTCAAACTACCAATGGCTTCACAGTATTCACATGAAGCATTGACATAGGGCAATGACTAAACAAATCCTCCACAGGCAGAGAGAACGAGTAAACAGTTGTTTTAGTTCAATATTGGCAGATAGCAGACAGACAAGTCAATGGAGAATTCTGACATATCAGAAAATGTGTTGAAGGGATTCAAGGGAACGTACAATGAGCTGATATGTCAGGATGATTTCAGCACAGATGGACATCCTCTCTATAACAGACAAGACCAACAACAAGGTACAGTGACCTTTTTGGGAAAAGCAAGAGAATATCTGCACTCCTATAAAATATAAATCCAGGAGCTTTTGACAGATTGTAGATTTGAGTATTAAATTCTGAATACAGGGATGTCACTAAAATCTCGTGGATGAACCCAAATATTATTGCGGTAATACTTGATAAAATTGTCTCTTGTCCAGTGTCCATGTTCATGGTGAGAGATGGGCTGAGTTCTCGATTCTACCGATTGGTTGCAGTGAGTCTGGGCATGCTCAGTGCTCTTCTACTGGCCGTTGACATTGGTCTGGGGGTCCAATGTGAGTAGTGTCCTTTATCATTTCCCTCTCATTTAAATAATTAACTGAACAATTCTGTCCTCTTCCTCTAGTAATGTTAGGTCTCTCTTTGGGCCCCACAGACAGCAAAGTCAGTGAGAAGTACAGTCCACTATATCAGAACTTGACACAGATCAGCAGTGAGCTGGAGCAACTCAGAGCTACCCACCGTAATATGATCCACGCCAAAGAGGAGGCCTTGACAGTGTTACAGAGAGAGCTCCAAAATGTGTACAAAACCAGCGGGCAGCTAGAGAGTGCCAAACACACTGGCATGGAGTTACAGAGGCAGGTTGAAAGCCTTCAGGAACAGAAGGTGGCATTGCAGTCCCGTGTCACTGAAGTTGGTGAGACTTTTGGGACTCAGTCTTTTGTAGCCTATGCTGTGTTGTATCTAGAAGCGACATTGATTAATTTATTAATGTATTCTTAGTAGATGTTTATATCAAAATAATCGCTTTGAGAAATCCCACTCTGGAGATTTGAAACAGCAATGTATGCTTATATGGGGGCCTTCATTTGTCAGATGTTACAGCAACAGTAATGTTTCAATGACTGTTTCCATTTCATTTTGTAACAGTGGAAAGCTGTGGCCGTTGTTTGCCAGGATGGGAACTGCTAAACTCAGTGTGTTACTACTTTCCCTTGTCTGACTCCATTCCTCTGAAAACGTGGGACAGAAGCAGAGATAACTGCATTAAACAAGGAGCTGACCTGGCAAAAATAGATAGTGAAGAGAAGCAGGTAAATTATTTGGATATATTCCACATGGTGTAACTTCCACACTGGGTTAAAGAATATATACGGTACATACCATGTTAGCATAGAATGAGTAGAACGTTCTAGCGTTCTCATCAGTTCTATGGAATGTGTGTCTAAATGTAATTATGTAAATCGCCCCACTAGGGGGTAAGGGGGGGGCCTTTTGGGTTTTCCTTTTACCCCCTTTTAAAAAAAAAGGGTTTTTTCCCTTTTTAGAAGTTAGGCCCCTTTTTCCCCAAAAAAAAAAATTAGAAATTCCCCTCCGAATGCCTCACGTGGGTGGACCCTCCTCCCCCCTTTTTTCCCCCCCCTTCCCTTTCCCCCCGGGGTCCCCGGGGGTTTTTTTTCCCCCCAAAACCCTCCTTTCCTTCCCCTTTCCCGGCAAATCACCCCCCTTTTTTGGGGGGGTTTTTTTGGGCTCTTTTTTTTTCCCTTGTTTTTACCCAAATTTTTTTTTTTTTTTTTTTTTCCCCTTTCCTTTTCCCCCTTTAATTTGCCCCCTTTTTTTTTTTCTTGCTTTACCCGTTTTTCTGTTTTTCCCTTTTTTTTCTGGGTTTTTTTCCTTTTCCCCCCTTTTACATTTCCCCCGGTCAATCCCCCAAAAAAAACCCCAAAAGGGGGGGCCCAAAAAAAAAGGGTACCTAAAAAAAAATGTTTAAAAAGGGCAAAAAATTTTGGATAACCACATGGTTTGAAACTTAATTTTTAAAAAATAATCGGACCCCAGATGTAGTGTTTGGGTTTTTTTTGGGGTTTGGGGGAAAAAAAGGTTGCCCCCTCCAGGAGGGTTTTCCGGTTTTTTGACCTCTTTTTCCCCATCCTTGGAGGGGGGGGGAGGAAAAAAAAGGGGGGGGGGAGAGGAAAAGGGGGGGGGGGCGGGGGGGGGGTGTTGGGGGCCCCCCCCCCCGGGGGATTTTTGAACAAAAAAAGGGGGGGCCCCCCGGGGCCGGGGGGGCCCTTTTTCCCCCCTCATTTTTTTTCCCCCCTTTTCGTTCTCTCCCCCTTTCTCTCCCTTTTCTTTTCCCCCCCTTTTTGGGTCTTTTTTTTAGGGTTTTTGGCTCAAGTTTTAAATGGTCGGCATAAAAAGGGGGGGGTTGGGAAAAGGGTCGAGGGGACGGAAGGCGGGGGTAAATAGGGTGACCCCAAAAAAGTAGGGGTTTTTGGTGTTTTTGTTTCCCTTTTATACCCCTAATTAAAAATGGGCATATAGACTCTGAATAACATAGGTTCAACTTATCTGCTATGGCAAAGTATGGAGATAGACAGATTGTCTAAATATTAGCATTACCATTGTCTATTACTACTGTCTTATTACCTATTACGTAGTCTAAAAATGAACCTTGACCTTTGTTCAAGGTACTGGGCAGATGGGGAGCCTAACGACGCTATGAATAACGAGGATTGTGCAGCCATTTACTCCAAAAAACATCCCACGTGGACTTCGGATCGCATGAAGACTTGGAACGATGCCCCATGTAGAAATGCACTGAAATGGATATGTGAAATGAAAGCAAAGGCAGCCCAGGAATTAAAGTTGTAATCATTTGTCTCATGAGTGTTGCTATATGCAAAGACACTACATGTTAAATGAAAATGTTTATAACAAAAGTAAATAATTGGTTTTAAATTCTTGTCATTTAGCCTCTTTACGTGCAGCGCCAATATCAAATCAAATCAAATTTTACTTGTCACATACACGTGTTTAGCAGATGTTATTGCGGGTGTAGCGAAATGCTTGTGCTTCTAGCTCCGACAGTGCAGTAATATCTAACAAGTAATATCTAACAATTTCACAACAAATACCCAATACACACAAATCTAAGTAAGGAATGGAATTAAGAATATATACATATATGGACGAGCAATGACAGAGCGGCATGGACTAAGATACAGTAGAATATTATAGAATACAGTATATACATATGAGATGAGTAATGCAAGATATGTAAACATTATTAAAGTGACTAGTGTTCCATTTATTAAAGTGGCCAGTGATTTCAATAGGCAGCAGCAGCCTCTAATGTGCTAGTGATGGCTATTTAACAATCTGATGGCCTTGAGATAGAAGCTGTTTTTCAGTCTCTTGGTTCCAGCTTTGATGCACCTGTACTGACCTCGCCTTCTGGATGATAGCAGGGTGAACAGGCAGTGGCTCGGGTGGTTGATGTCCTTGATTATCTTTTTGGCCTTCCTGTGACATCGGGTGCTGTAGGTGTCCTGGAGGGCAGGTAGTTTGCCCCCGGAAATGCGTTCGGCAGACCGCACCGCCCTCTGGAGAACCCTGTGGTTGCGGGCGGTGCAGTTGTCGTACCAGGCGGTAATACAGCCCGACAGGATGCTCTCAATTGTGCATCTGTAAAAGTTTGTGAGGGTTTTAGGTGCAGGCTCTGCTGAGCCTTCTTCACCACACTGTCTGCATGGGTGGACCATTTCAGTCTGTCAGTGATGTGTACACCAAGGAACTTGAAGCTTTCCACCTTCTCCACTGCGGTCCTGTCGATGTGGATGGGGGGTGCACCCTCTGCTGTTTCCTGAAGTCCACGATCATCTCCTTTGTTTTGTTGACGTTGAGTGAGAGGTTATTTTCCTGGCACCACACTCCCAGAGCCCTCCCTGTAGGCTGTCTCGTCATTGTTGGTAATCAAGCCTACTACATTTACATTTACATTTTAGTCATTTAGCAGACGCTCTTATCCAGAGCGACTTACAGTTAGTGAGTGCATACATAATTTTTTTTCATACTGGCCCCCCGTGGGAATCAAACCCACAACCCTGGCGAAACGCCATGCTCTACCAACTGAGCTACATCCCTGCCGGCCATTCCCTCCCCTACCCTGGACGATGCTGGGCCAATTGTGCGCCGCCCCATGGGTCTCCCGGTCGCGGCCAGCTATGACTACTGTTGTGTCATCTGCAAACTTGATGATTGAGTTGGAGGCGTGCTTGGCCACGCAGTCATGGGTGAACAGGGAGTACAGGAGGGGGCTGAGCACGGCCCTTGTGGGGCCCCAGTGTTGAGGATCAGCGAAGTGGAGATGTTGTTTCCTACCTTCACCACCTGGGGGCGGCCCATCAGGAAGTCCAGGACCCAGTTGCACAGGGCTGGGTTCAGACCCAGGGCCTCGAGCTTAATGATGAGCTTGGAGGGTACTATGGTGTTGAATGCTGAGCTATAGTCAATGAACAGCATTCTTACATAGATATTCCTCTTGTCCAGATGGGATAGGGCAGTATGCAGTGTGATGGCGATTGCATCGTCTGTGGATCTATTGGGGCGGTAAGCAAATTGAAGTGGGTCTAGGGTGACAGGTAAGGTAGAGGTGATATGATCCTTGACTAGTCTCTCAAAGCACTTCATGATGACAGAGGTGAGTGATAGTCATTTTGTTCAGTTACCTTTGCTTTCTTGGGTACAGGAACAATGGTGGCCATCTTGAAGCATGTGGGGACAGCAGACTGGGATAGGGAGTGATTGAATATGTCCGTAAACACACCAGCCAGCTGGTCTGCGCATGCTCTGAGGACGCGGCTTGGAATGCCGTCTGGGCCGGCAGCCTTGCGAGGGTTAACATGCTTAAATGTCTTACTCACGTAGGCCATGGAGAAGGAGAGCCCACAGTCCTTGGTAGTGGGCCGCGTCGGTGGCCCTGTGTTATCCTCAGAAGATGTGAGTTCCCAATATGGGCAATTATTTGCTTTATCACTGGTTGTTTGAGGATATTTTTGTTATTGGAAGGTATCCTGTAATCCTTGGGCACACACACACACAAACACACACACACACCTCCCTCCACTCAAACCACCAACGGCTTCACAGTATTCACATGAAGCATTGACATAGGGCAATGACTAAACAAATCCTCCACAGGCAGAGAGAACGAGTAAACAGTTGTTTTAGTTCAATATTGGCAGATAGCAGACAGACAAGTCAATGGAGAATTCTGACGTATCAGAAAATGTGTTGAAGGGATTCAAGGGAACGTACAATGTGCTGATATGTCAGGATGATTTCAGCACAGATGGACATCCTCTCTATAACAGACAAGACCAACAACAAGGTAACTTAAGGAGAACGTGACATTTTGGGAAAAGCAAGAGAATATCTGCTCTCCTATAAAAAAATATTTTGGCAGATTGTAGATTTGAGTATTAAATTCTGAATACAAAGATGTCACTAAAATCCCATCGATGAACCCAAACATTATTGTGGTATTAATAAAATTGTCCCTTGTCCAGTGTCCATGTTCATGGTGAGAGATGGGCTGAGTTCTCGATTCTACTGATTGGTTGCAATGGATCTGGGCATGCTCAGTGCTCTTCTACTGGCCGTTGACATTGGTCTGAGGGTCCAATGTGAGTAGTGTCCTTTATCATTTCCCTCTCATTTAAATAATTAATTGAAAAATGTTCTGTCCTCTTCCTCTAGTGATGTTAGGTCTCTCTTTGGTCCCCGCAGACAGCAAAGTCAGTGAGAAGTACAGTCCACTATATCAGAACTTGACACAGATCAGCAGTGAGCTGGAGCAACTCAGAGGTCCTGACAGGTTGCAACCTGGTCTCAGAGCATTTCGTACTATTCTGTATGTAAATCTGAGACATTCCATTTAGTATGATATGTTACGTTGCGTATGGTATGTATTATTTTGTAGATGTCCATCATCCATTTCATATGATATGTTACAAATTACAATTCATATGATATGTTACACATTTTCTAAATATACAATGTGTTACGGATTTTCAAAACGTACAATGTTACGAATTTGCAAAATGTATGGTATATTACGAATTCTAGCTAGGTGGCTAGGTGGCTAACGGTAGCTAACTCGCTAGGCTAGGGTTAAGTTCAGAGTTAGGTTAAAGTGTTAACGTTAGGGTTAGGGGAAGGGTTAGCTAAAAGGATTAAGGTTAGGTGAAGGCTTAGCTAAAAGGGTTAAGGTTAGGGTTAGGAGAAGGGTTAGCTAACATGCTAAGTAGTTGCAAAGCTAATGAGATTCAAACTTGCAACCGATGTTAGCATTATCCACCCACCCTGATCAACCACCCTCCTTTCATTTTTGCCTTAAGTAACCATCTGTCTTATGTAACCATACCAAATGTAACATATCATACTAAATGGAGTGCCTCAGTTTTAGGTACAGAATAAAACTAAATGCTCTGAGACCAGGTTGCGAGAGCTCCAAAAGCTGTACAGAACCAGCGGGCAGCTAGGGAGTGCCATCGCACTGGCATGGAGTTACAGAGGCAGGTTGAAAGCCTTCAGGAACAGAAGGTGGCATTGCAGTCCCGCGTCACTGAAGTTGGTGAGACTTTTGGGACAGACATTGATGAATGTAAATCCTTAGGAGTCGATTGACTCGTCTGTTTAAACTAGAGATGTGTTTTTTTGTATGGGCTGAGTCTCAATCCACTGCATCCGCCGATGTCAGCCTTCTGCATCTGCGATGGAAAGTGGCAGAGCTACAGCGCTGTTTGTCAGACCAGGAGACATCCCGAAAATCAGTCTTCTCACAAAAATGACTGTAGTGTCTGAACGGTACGGTTTGTCCTACAAACTAATATGACCACACTGTGGAAAGGGGAGACTCTCACGAACATGAGGGTCTTCTCCACAAGTGTCGTCTGAAAGTAACCCAGTACCGGTTAAAATAATTCATGGAAGTATGGAAGTAGTTTTGTGCCAACAAAAAAAGGGTTTAAAATGTGTCCCAAAAAAATATATACAGTATTTCCTGAGCTTTCTTGTATCTCCTAGATATAGGAAAGACACTTAAAAACCTTAGTCCTTATTATTTATTTTTTGACTGTCTGTTTTCCATTTATTATTTTTTCATACCTACAGGGGTCCTAAAATTCAAAATCAAATAGCTAAATGATCCATTGTATGGCCATGTTAAAACATGGCCATCAGTTCTATGCAATGTGTCTCTATGTGGAATGCTGTAAGTGCTCTACTCCATGGAGTAGGTCCCTTTACATTGTAATGGTTTGAGAGCACTATAAAAGAGAAAGATAGTGGGGTTCTGGATAGGACTGAAGGAGGAAGAGGATACAGAGGGGACCTGGACATGGCTTGATGGGACTGAGCTGACTCAGGGGTAAGAGCTGCACAAGTTATTGGACTGGATACAGGTTTAATCATGTATGATCTTCTATGTATTTGTGTAGACCAACATGATAAGCGGTTCTTGGTGAAATGGTTCCACTGTCTGTGACACTGTACCATTATCATTCAGGATAATACCAGAATGTCTAGAAAGCAACCTTTAACTTGGTTTAAAGGTACTGAGAAGATGGAGAGCCCAATGACCACTATGGAATGGAGGACTGTGCGGCCATCAAAATAAATCCCATGAAGTCCTGGAATGATGCTACGTGTAAAAGTGAAATGCAATCAAGGAAATTACTGTAAAATGTCCATTATTTCCTATACTATTTCATTCAAGTAAATACATACAGTCAAAATAATAGGCATTGGAATCAAATGTCAATTTAAATTTTACATAGCATAAGATTGTATCTGTTGAAAGAAATTGTTTTAATATGAGTTTTGTATATTTTGATTGTTTTGATTGTTTACTCATTACAAACAAGACAGACTACAAATTGTGACAAGAGGAATGGTAGTACAAAAATACATCCCTGGTTTACATCTGAATACACTATAAAAATATAGCAGTATAAATACATTTACTATAAATATTTGTATTACATGTTCATACTTTACTATGTACATTTACTATCAGTGCTTAAAGGTACCTTAAATACTATTCTACAAGCCTGTGAACCAACCATTGAAAAGAAAAACGAGCAAATAAAACAGTTGTAAACGACTGTTTTACAATCATTTCTGTGCAGTGAGTTGCCCAAGCCAGATTGCCTTTGATATCATTTAGCCACAGTTTTGTGTCGCTGCAAGAATCATATTTGTCTGTAGATCGTGATGATGTCTAACCATAACATGAGGAGGCCAGTCACTGTTGTTCAATAGCAGCACTCTATGACAACTGAGTAAGTGAGATATTGCACAGGCAGACTGGACTTTCAGGTCAGGTGTGTCAATCAGTAGCTCACAGCACAGCAAAGTGCTGGCGCAGGTGTTTCAGGATCTCCTGGGTATCTACATGCTCAGGGAAGGCATCCTCCGACCTCTGGGCAGCTGTATAGCTACTCTGCAGATCTCCAGTCTGGACACAGCAGAAGACAACAGCACATCAATTCATATGATCACTCATAACTAAAAACAGTATTTTATACCAGGCATAACCACTGTCCTTTTAATTTAAAACAGTGCTATGAATGTGCAGGCTACATGTCAATAGTTAAATAGATTAAAGTAAAAGTGCTGATGAAGTGTCTCATTACCTTGTCTGACAGAGTGGAGTAGTTAAAGTGCGGTTCATACATGTGAGGGGCGAGTGACGCAGCGGTCTGGAGGAAAGCTTTGGACTGTGAAGAAATTAGGAAATCAAAACAAAACAACCATTCTGACCAAAACATCAGAAGCAGTCCACTACTGTAGATGCTCCTAAATACTTTTTACATAATGTGTTGTACCATATGGAAAATAACCACTGGGTATAATGCCTTAGAAGAGCAAGCCTGGAAGAAGCTTCCACCAGTTGGAAAGAAAGTCTGTAATTTATAACAGTTTTACTCTCTCAATTCTCTAACCAAAACAAACATTTAATCAATATGATATATTTGAAGATCTAGAAACCCCAGTTCATTCACCTGCTCAATGTGTCCCTTGCGTAGCTCCAACACAGCCAGGTTATTATAGGCCTCAGCATGGTCGTTGTTGAAGGCCAAGGCCAGTTTAAAACACTGGTATGCTAGAGTCAGGTCTCCTATTCCCTGTGGGGAGAAACATAAGATGCACGTAGCATAAACAGAAATGTGAAGAAGTGATAGCATGCTATATGTTCAAAGCACGCAGCCAGAGTTTGGATCCTGTCCAAGAGAAACCAGTTGGCATACAGAAGAGGGTGCTGTAGAGTAAGTTCATGCAGTAACAATAACATCTGTGTGTGCTAAGCTAACGCTAACCCACCACGGCTACGTGTCCAATGTTGTACCAGACGTCAGCCTGCTCCTCATCGTTGGCCACCAGGGCCAGAGCCTTCTCGAAGGAGGAGAGGGTCATGTCATACTGCTGGGCATAGAAACAGCACAGTCCAAGGTTGTTGTACAGCTGGCAATGATATACTCCCATCTGCAGCAGCCGTCTACAGGAAGGGAAGGTTAGAGTGAAAAGACAACTGTAAAATCAATGCAACGATGCAAGGCATGTGTATCCAATGACATGATAAACATTATTTAATATCGTAAAGGCATAGCCATAATAATCAGAGTAAGATTAGTTTATATATTTATTTTTATTTTTTAGGTGGTAGATCAGCTTTAATATAACAGATAGATTGTAAGTTCCATCAATGTAATTGTCTGCATCACTTCCAATCCCCCATATGTTTTTTTTCTCTCGCAAATATATATACAGTGGGGAGAACAAGTATTTGATACACTGCCGATTTTGCAGGTTTTCCTACTTACAAAGCATGTAGAGGTCTGTAATTTTTCACCTTCCTCATGATCATTGATGAGATCTTGCATGGAGCCCCAGACCGAGGGTGATTGACCGTCATCTTGAACTTCTTCAATTTTCTAATAATTGTGCCAACAGTTGTTGCCTTCTCACCAAGCTGCTTGCCTATTGTCCTGTAGCCCATCCCAGCCTTGTGCAGGTCTACAATTTTATCCCTGATGTCCTTACACAGCTCTCTGGTCTTGGCCATTGTGGAGAGGTTGGAGTCTGTTTGATTGAGTGTGTGGACAGGTGTCTTTTATACAGGTAACGAGTTCAAACAGGTGCAGTTAATACAGGTAATGAGTGGAGAACAGGAGGGCTTCTTAAAGAAAAACTAACATGTCTGTGAGAGCCGGAATTCTTACTGGTTGGTAGGTGATCAAATACTTATGTCATGCAATAAAATGCAAATGAATTACTTTAAAATCATACAATGTGATTTTCTGGATTTTTGTTTTAGATTCCGTCTCTCACAGTTGAAGTGTACCTATGATAAAAATTACAGACCTCTACATGCTTTGTAAGTAGGAAAACCTGCAAAATCGGCAGTGTATCAAATACTTGTTCTCCCCACTGTATAGTACATTTTATATATATATATATATATATATATATACACACATACATACACACATACATACACATATACATATCGTTTAAAAAAATATATTTCCCTTTATTACTTTCCAACCCCACCACCCCTTCCCTAATTGGAGTAAACTAGTGAACAACTATGCTTAGGCCTCTACTTCCAGCTTATACATACTATATACATTTTATGGACACAGTGAATTTTACAATAATTCTATTTTGTTAGTTTTTACTCCTGAACTTCCTCTACCCTCAACCTCTCCAATAATTTTTCATGATGTCCATCCGGTTTGCTTCTATATGCCATATCTTTCTAACTGTGCTCTTTCACAAAAGCTCTCAACCTATAACCTATATACTTATTATGGACACAGTATGCTTTACATGAGTTATCTTGTTGTTATTAGTTGTTGTTAGTTGTTATTAGTCCCATCCTTCAACTTCATTCAAGATGAGGGAATTAAAGGGAGTGGTGTGTGTGTGACTAACCTGTAGAAGCGCAGGGCAATCTCAGGCTGGTCCGTGTAGAAGGGATTGCTGCCTATGCAGGCGATAGCCTCAACATGAGTGTTGTCCTGCTTCAGGACGTCTTTGTAGTACTCTGTGGCTGAGGTGATGTTGTTCATCTCCTGTGAGAGACGCAGATAACAAATATTATTAAAGACAGATTTTGGACCTCCTGATCAACCTGCATCTATTCTCTCAATTGACAGTAGAGTTATTCAATAGCTACTAGAGATGCAAAACAATTAGGCTCTAAATTCCAAGGCAATCAGCTGCTCATTTCAGATTACACATTTGACATGCCGATTTCAACCTATGCTTTCTTTAAGCAAGAGAACGCTTTACAAACAAACAGCAAAAAAGGAATCATGTCACGTACCTCGTGCGAGCAATTCCTGTTAAGAGAGTGACCTCCCCAGGGAAGTGGTCCAGACCTTGCTTGAAGAGGGTTAGTGCAGTTATAGGCTGATCAAGCCGCTGATACACCTGTTTTAGTGGCAAAACAGAACAATAAGTATTTTTATGTAATTTGTAACAAATATAGGGTAGTAGATCGATGTAAAAACCATAAACCTATTTGGACTTATAGAAACAACTCATCGTTGAGTGACGCACCACGTGCTATCTGCTATGGAGAAGCCTTGTGTCATGGTTAATCCATACTGTATACACAGTGGTTTTCCACTTGTAGTTACACAGTATTTACAGTGTTAAAAATGTGTTAGGGACAGTGTAGGTTGTATGTTACCTTGGCTAGATAGAGGTATGTGTCCACCACCTCCTGATGATTGAGAGCAAATCGGAACTGTTTTTCTGATTCCCGGTGTAAACCAAGTCTGTCAATAAAAACAGTCGCAATGTAGTAAAACTGTAGTGGTCGTATAGTATGCATTGTATAATAACCGTTTTATGAGATCTAAGTAATTAGCTAAAGCTTTACCTGTAGTAGCATTTCCCCAGCTGGACTTTCCACCACCAGTCTTTGAACTGAGCATTCTCAGCGGCCAGAGCAGCCAGGTCTAAAGCCTGTACACAAACAAAAAAAAGGTACAAATGACTTTAGAGTGAAACTTACGAACAATAACAACATGGAAAGCCAAAGATATACACTAATATTGAGTTACAATATTACTTTGCCCTCAGAACAGCCTCAATTCTTCGGGACATGGACTCTACAAGGTGTCGAAAGCGTTTCACAGGGATGCTGGCCCATTTTGACTCCAATACTTCCCACATTTGTGTCAAATTGGCTGGATGTCCTTTGGGTGGTGGACCATTCTTGATACACACTGGAAACTGTTGAGTGTGAAAAACTCAGTAGAGTTGCAGTTTTTGACACACTCAAACCGGTGCACCTGGCACCTACTAACATACCCCGTTCAAAGACACTTAAATATTTTGTCTTGCCTATTCACCCTCTGAATGGCACAAATACACAATTCATGTCTCAACTGTCTCGAGGCTTAAAAATGCTTATTTAACCTGTCTCCTCCCCTTCATCTACACTGATTGAAGTGGATTTAACAAGTGATATCAATAGGGGATCATAGCTTTTACCTTGATTCACCTGGTCAGTCTATGTCTACAGACACCCGACAAGACCCAAATCCCAGTCATTCGCATGAGAAAGAAACTGAGATATCGTGGACGTTGGTCGGAGTGCCTTGTAAGGATCCGACGGCGAGCGAGTAAACTGCCTCTTCTATCAATCCTATTAGCCAATGTTCAATCATTTGAAAATAAATTGGACGACCTAAGATTAAGGTTATCCTACCAACGGGACATTAAAAACTGTAATATCTTATGTTTCACCGAGTCGTGGCTGAACGACGACATGGATAACATACAGCTGGTGGGATATACACTACATCGACAGGATAGAACGGCTGACTATTTGTAAACAACAGCTGGTGCATAAAATCTAATACTAACGAAGTCTCAAGGTTTTGCTCGCCTGAGGTAGAGTATCTCATGATAAGCTGTAGACCACACTATTTACCAGAGTTTTCATCTATTATTTTTGTAGCTGTCTATTTACCACCACAAACCGATGCTGGCACTAAGATTGCACTCAATGAGCTGTATAAGGCCATAAGTAAACAGGAAAATGCTCATCCAGAGGCAGCACTCCTAGTGGCCGGGGACTTTAATGCAGGGAAACTGAAATCCGTTCTACCTCATTTCTACCAGCATGTTAAATGTACAACCAGAGGAAAAAAACAAAAACTCTAGACCACCTTTACTCCACACACAGAGACGCGTACAAAGCTCTCCCTCACCCTCCATTTGGCAAATCTGACCATAACTTTATCCTCCTGATTCCTGCTTATAAACAAAAACTAAAGCAGGAAGCACCAGTGACTCGGTTAATAAGGAAGTGGTCAGATGACGCAGATGCTAAGCTACAGGACTGTTTTGCTAGCACAGACTGGAATATGTTCCGGGATTCTTCCGATAGCATTGAGGAGTACACCACATCAGTCACTGGCTTCATCAATAAGTGCATCGATGACGTCGTCCCCACAGTGACTGTACATGCATACCCCAACCAGAAGCCATGGATTACAGGCAACATCCGCACTGAGCTAAAGGGTAGAGCTGCCGCTTTCAAGGAGCGGGACTCTAACCCGGACGCTTATAAGAAATCCTGCTATGCCCTCCGACAAACCATCAAACAGGCAAAGAGTCAATACAGGACTAAGACTGAATCGTACTACACCGGCTCAGACGCTCATCGGATGTGGTAGGGCTTGAAAACTATTACAGACTACAAAGGGCAGCACAGCCGTGAGCTGCCCAGTGACACAAGCCTACCAGACGAGCTAAATCACTTCTATGCTCGCTGAAGCATGCATGAGAGCATCAGCTATTCCGGATGACTATGTGATCACGCTCTCCGTAGCCGATGTGAGTAAGACTTTTAAGCAGGTCAACATTCACAAGGCCGCTGGGCCAGACGGATCTGTACTCCGAGCATGCTCTGACCAACTGGCAAGTGTCTTCACTGACATTTTCAACATGTCCCTGACTGAGTCTGTAATACCAACATGTTTCAAGCAGACCACCATAGTCCCTGTGCCCAAGAACACTAAGAACCTGCCTAAATGACTACCGACCCGTAGCACTCACGTCTGTTGCCATGAAGTGCTTTGAAAGGCTGGTCATGGCTCACATCAACACCATTATCCCAGAAACCCTAGACCCACTCCAATTTGCATACCGCCCCAACAGATCCACAGATGATGCAATCTCTATTGCACTCCACACTGCCCTTTCCCACCTGGACAAGAGGAACACCTACGTGAGAATGCTCTTCATTGACTACAGCTCAGCGTTCAACACCATAGTGCCCTAAAAGCTCATCACTAAGCTAAGGATCCTGGGACTAAACACCTCCCTCTGCAACTGGATCCTGGACTTCCTGATGGGCCGCCCCCAGGTGGTAAGGGTAGGTAACAACACATCTGCCACGCTGATCCTCAACACAGGGGCCCCTCAGGGGTACTCCCTGTTCACCCATGACTGCATGGCCAGGCACGACTACAACACCATCATTAAGTTTGCCGACGACACAACAGTGGTAGGCCTGATCACCGACAACGATGAGACAGCCTATAGGGAGGAGGTCAGAGACCTGGCCGTGTGGTGCCAGGATAACAACCTCTCCCTCAACGTGATCAAGACAAAGGAGATTTTGTCTTGATTTTGAGATTTTACAGGAAAAAAAAGAGGACTGAGCACGCCCCCATTCTCATCGACGGGGCTGTAGTGGAACAGGTTGAGAGCTTCAAGTTCCTTGGTGTCCACATCACCAACAAACTATCATGGTCCAAACACACCAAGACAGTCGTGAAGAAGACACGAGAAAGCCTATTCCCCCTCAGGAGACTGAAAAGATTTGGCATGGGTCCTCAGATCCTCAAAAAGTTCAAGAGCATCCTAACTGGTTGCATCACCGCTTGGTATGGCAACTGCTCTGCCTCCGACCGCAAGGCACTACAGAGGGTAGTGCGTACGGCCCAGTACCTCACTGGGGCCAAGCTTCCTGCCATCCAGGACCTCTATACCAGGCAGTGTCAGAGGAAAGCCCTAAAAATGGTCAAAGACTCCAGCCACCCTAGTCATAGACTGTTCTCTCTGCTACCGCACGGCAAGCGGTACCGGAGCGCCAAGTCTAGGTCCAAAAGGCTTCTTAACAGCTTTTACCCCCAAGCCATAAGACTCCTGAACAGCTAATCATGGCTACCCGGACTATTTGCTGCTCTTTAATTATTTGCTTTTTTTTTTTTTTTTTACTTATCTATTTTTTACTTAACACTTTTTTTTCTTTCTTAAAACTCCATTATTGGTTAAGGGCTTGTAAGTAAGCATTTCACAGTAAGGTCTACACCTGTTGTATTTGGCGCATGTGGCAACTAAAATTTGATTTGATTTGTCATGGAAAGAGCAGGTGTTCCTAATGTTTTGTATACTCAGTGTGTATCTGTATTGGTAACTCACATTTTTTACATCATTTTCATGATGGAAGATAAAAAAGAAAAGGAATGGTCATAACATGTATTGAACTCGAATAACCCAAATAAATACAAGTACAATGACAAAAATATTTTTGGAGAGACCATGTTCATTGCCTTACATTCATTAAAATACTCTTACCTTGGATAAATTGGGCTTCTGGGCATATTTAGCTAAATTGAGTCTGGATAAGTTTATAAATGGCCCCTCAGGATTGGTCAACATGGAGGCTGTTCCCAGCCGGACAAATCTCCCAGACGCACTAGTAACAGGACGGGCAGTGTGTGCCGTGCGAGGGGTCCTGATGGCTTGTTCCATCGTCCCTGGTCTGCCAGACTGAGTACTGGGCCTCACAAACCCTGTGATAGGACGTCCTGATTCAGGACAAAAAAGCTCAGTTCAGATTCAGAACTAATCTGATGCTTTTCAAGGTACATAATGCTCCCCACGACTCAATGTCATAAACATTGTTACAGTAATTACACAATGTCAGTAGGGGAAATGCCTTGGGATACTTACCTAACACATACAAGATAGCTGTGAATTCTAAAATGTCACATACCTGATGGCTGGAGTAGGTCCACCTCCATGGCTTGTTTCAGTAAGCCTCAGTGATGTCCCAGGGCCTGAAAGAAAGCTTCATTACTGTTCACTCAAAGAGCTGAGAACATATTGGACAGATTTTACCAGATCAGAATGGTAATATATTATTGTGATTGAGACAGACTTTGAGATTTACTGATCTGGTAGGCTCAGTAGGCTGTTCTGTGGGTATGGTCAGGAGTTTTTCCTGACCATTTAGCCTGACCAGGAAAAACGATTGGCCCTCTGGGACAGTTCAGAGTTTAGACTTACGAGCAACCTGAGCGATGGAGCTTTCATCCAGCAACATCTCAGCGATCCCCTCCTGGTCCACCTCCACCTCATCAACGTACACCATCTCTGTCAGAGCACGGGTCTTCAGACTCCATGCAGCTTGTCAAAGAAGAAACAGCTAGCTATGTGATTAGAAGGAATATTTACTGTGAGTCAGATTTTATTTTACAGTGTGAAGATTATGTTTACTTTGATGTTACAAGGTAGGGAACTCCAGTACAGATGTACTACAGATATTTCATTCATTTAGCTATCCATTCTATTGGTTTTTCAACATGCCAGATTAGAATCAGCATGTCGAGAGACAGAAAAAAAAGGAGCACAGCAGTTAGAGGTTACCTCAGAGATATATGATGAGGAGTCAGGTTCCTTTTAAGACAGCAGTGAGTGAAATTATGAGAGCAGAGGTGAATACAGATTTGATACATACATTATAGAAATAAAATGTCAAGAAAAAGGGAGCTAAGAGTAGCTAAGATTAATTAAAATTGAGATGAAACTGACAGCAGGGGGAACAACAGCAGTGGTCCTCTGTAGCTCAGCTGGTAGAGCACGGCGCTTGTAACGCCAAGGTAGTGGGTTCGATCCCCGGGACCACCCATACACAAAAATGTATGCACGCATGACTGTAAGTCGCTTTGGATAAAAGCGTCTGCGAAATGGCATATTATTATTATAACTAAGGTCTAAACTTGCCAGATATGATAGCTGGGCTAGCTAGCTAGTTAACAAGTAGTTTTTTTCTAGCAACCAATACTAGCTAGCTAGCTAACAATGTGCTAGCAAAACAACAGATAGCTAGCAAGCAATGGCAGAGCATCTCTGGCAATGGTAAGACGATAACGAAGAGGCAATGATTCAGAAAATGTCAAAGATGATTTTGCAAGCATGCTATCAACATTAGCTTGCTACTGCTAGCTAAATTGAATTAATGCCTGGAGCTGGCTAGCTAGCTAGCAAGTTTAGCTTTTTAATTACCTGGTCGTATGGACTGTCCTCCAATATCTTCGAACAAATACTGGAACATGGTTGGAACTTCCGTCTTCTAAAGTAGGTCCATGCAAGAAACAAGGGATCCATCGGTATCTCCATTTTTGCTTATTTGCTTGTGGTGCTAAAATAAATGAAGACGAAGCTAGCTAGGTAAATTAGAGCTTAGCTATCAACGCTAAACTTGTTGCTTGAGCAGCAAGCGTCCTGTCACTCCCAGCAACGGAGGAGAGGGGAGGTCCTCTTCTATGTGCACTTGATTGAGCTCGCTCTGCACGCCAGAGCGGTTGGAGGTGTGCACTGGCACTACTTTTAAGACCATTCCATCCTTTATAGTGCTAACTCTTCCCACTCGGAGCATTGAGCTTTTTGGCATTTACCGTGAGAACAAATAGCATTCTCTGAAGTGAAGCATGATCAATGGGTTTCCTCAAAACCTTTCGTGTGCTTTCTTTGTATTCAAGCTTCATCCGCTAAATTCTGTGACCTTTATTTCAGCACCCACCGAGTGGACAGTGACTTTATTTAAAGTAGAAGCTGGGAGAATGGGAGGCAAAAGTAGCATAATGTGAACCTGAATGCGTGTGCTCTCTAAAAATATATATAATTGGTGTATTACCTATAGCCTTTGCATGGATAGAAAACTACTGCAGAATGTTGAAGAAATGTGCAAAGGGGTAAAATATTAAACGGTGGCGCCATATACTTAGATTGACAGCTGTCAAAATCTTCCCGGCATTGACTTCACACCATGGGTTAGAGCCCATTCTTTAGGAGAGGACGTTTATGTCCAATTATAATGATTGCCATTGGTCCGTGAACATCCCTTCAAACGCTAAATGGATATTTGGGGATGTGATTGGACAGATTGTTGGTCTATCACCAATGTAGATAACATTTTGGGGCGGTGCTTGTAAATAAACGCGAAAACTCCATCTTTATAGGATTTGACAAGAGCTTCGACCTGCCTCGACTCTCGAGAGGGGCAGCTAGCCTAAGGTTGAAGTAGCGGTAGATATATGCTTTTCACTATGAAAAGGACAGCATAGTTAACCATTTTGAATTAAAGATAAGCATATAATCTCGAAGTAAAACTAGATTCAGTGAGACTATTATGCACATGGTACTCGAATGCCCGCTAAAACCGCTTGGACCGGATACGATGCATTTCCAGTGGAACTAAGAGATACGGATCGAATGAAATCCGTCTTGGTGAATGAAGAAATATAAAAAACTCACGACAGAAAAGAAGTACGGACATGGCTGACAGGACCGCTCCGAATTGTCACCTGCGACTAGAGTGGGTTTACGGGTATCGTGGACATCAGTGCCGCAACAACTTGTACTACACAGCGGCCAAGGAAATTGTCTACTTCGTCGCCGGTGTGGGAGTAGTGTATAACACACGTGAACACAAGCAAAAATTTTACTTGGGACACAACGATGACATAATCAGGTAATCCCATTTGCAGAAACTCATTCATATGCCGAGATCCAAAATAAAACGCAACGACCTAGCACCGATAAAAACACGAAAATGATCAAGTTTATATTTCTGTCGAGGAGATATTTTGCCTAAGTCTCTATTGAATCGAGGTTATGAGTTGTAATATGTGACTAACGTTATACAGTTTCAACGAGTCAAAATGGTATAGTTTGTGAAAACATCACACTGAGTCCTAACTTGTGAGCTAACTATCCTCTTTCAAAACCTAATGGATGGACAGCGACTTCATTAAAAGTAGCTTTCGTTTCAGCACCTACTTAGTGGACAGCGACTTTATTCAAAGTAGAGGCTTGGGTAATGATTTGAACGTGTTAGTTGTCTTGAAGGATGCAGTTGCTGTATCATATCTCTGATACAATACCGTATTTTTTTTCGGAACAAAAAGGTGAGACATTTTATTACACGATTCTAAACTGGATTTATTCTACATAAATTATGGCATTTGAAGTAAGTTATTTGCTGTCATCTTTCTGTAGGGCCCTGGTATTTCTTGTTAGTCACAGTGAAATACAGTAACTCCACTCTGCATTCACTATTCCACCCTTAAAACCCACGATGACTGCTCAGCGACCAACCTGGTCTCAGAGCATTTCGTATTATTATGCACGTAAATCCGCGAGACTTCATTTAGTATGATATGTAACATATTATAATTTGTATTTTATGTTTTACGAATTTGCAAAACGTACAATATGTTACGAATTTGCAAAATGTCTAATATGTTACGAATTTGCAAAACGTATGATATGTTAGCTAGCTCGCTAACGTTAGCTAGGCTAAGGGTTAGGGTTAGTGTTAAGGTTAGGTTAAGTTTAGGAGTAAAGTTAAAGGGTTAAGGTTAGGGGAAGGGTTAGTTAATAGGCTTAAGGTTAGGGTTAGAAGAAGGGTTAGCTAACATGTTAAGTAGTTGCAAAGTAGCTAAAAAATTAGCTACAATTCTAAAGTTGTCTGTGATGAGATTCAAACTCGCAATCTTTGGGTTGCTAGACGTTCACGTTATATGACCACCCATCCACCCCAACCAACCATCTGTCATAACCATCTGTCTTATGTAACAATACAAAATGTAACATATCATACTAAATGGAGCGTTCTCGGATTTACGTACAGAATAATACAAAATGCTCTGAGACCAGGTTGCAGTGACCCATCATAACTCCCAGGATAAATGGACTTGAAACATTCCAGGACCTTCAGGGAATGTTTGAAAAGCTGTAGTCTGTGAATCCCACAGAGATATTTCTGGTGGTGGGTCAGGTAAACTTGAATTGACACAGAGACCCACATTCATATGATCATTCCAATCATTCACATCAAGGGGGAGGAAGATTCTTTATTATAATTTGGTCTGTGGAGATTACCCCTTTCACTTCTAGGGGACAAATTGCAGCATCTTGCACCATACAATGACGCATTGTACTGAATGACCTGTGTCCACTGCTTCAGTGGCTGTGTTGTTGGCCTAGAGATGACTAGGATTATATACTGCAGTGTCGTTAGTCAGCTGTTCAGTTGATCCATTATTAATTAGTCAACAGAGAGACAGACCTTGCATTGCCTTGACTTCTGTGTGAAGTGCTTCAGTTCAAATGCCATGAGGAGGCGATCCATCTCTAGTACATATCAGAAGCATATGTGTAGTGGAGGTAGTTCAGTGAAGCTCATGCCATGAGTGGCCTTGTCTGAGACCTGAAGACTTGTGTTGGCTCTCCATGCTTAGACTTTAGCTTGGTGAGCTAATACAGTCTTGTGGTGCACAGATGACTGTGTTTTGGTTACCTCAGAGGTGAGGGCTCAGGGGAAGCAGTGTGGAGCAGGCACAGGAGACAGAACTGTAGCTGTTTGGCGGGCGGCTCTCTCTCACGTTGCACGAAGTCATGTGAAAAAGATGCAGCCGCCTCAAATAGCAGTGGGAGTTTCAGTCATCTCCCTCCTCACTGTGCTGTTTTCATTTTCTACAGAGGAAACAGCCACAGAGACAGCTCTCTACAGTGAATGGAGTCTAACTTTCATTGCTTAGAGTCAGTCTGTGTTTTATTCAGTCAGTCTGACTTTATTCAGTTCTTCCGTTTGTTTGTCTTAAAGCTATGTTTAGATTTGTTACAGTGTTTTGTGTGCTGGATGAATTAATTGCTCTCCTCATATATCACCCTCTTGATGTTATCCCTGTGGCGTTCTCTGTCTGCCAGTCTTCCAGTCTGACCCTCTGACTGTCTGAGTGACTGAGGAGAGCTAGTTAATGGCCAGGTGAGGAACATGAATGAAAGGCCATTTCATTGGACTGACTAGGACCTGTTCATTCTCACTGAGTCGCGCCCAGCATAGTACTTTGTGGTACTGTCTTGTCTATCCACTCCACTACAGTATAAGTGTTTTATGTCCTCTAGTCTACAGTAACTACAGTATACGTGTTTTCTGTCCTCTAGTCAACAGGAACTACAGTATACGTGTTTTCTGTCCCCTAGTGTACAGTAACTACAGTATACGTGTTTTCTGTCCTCTAGTCAACAGGAACTACAGTATACGTGTTTTCTGTCCCCTAGTGTACAGTAACTACAGTATAAGTGTTTTCTGTCCTCTAGTCTACAGTAACTACAGTATAAGTGTTTTCTGTCCTCTAGTCTACAGTAACTACAGTATAAGTGTTTTCTGTCCTCTAGTCAACAGGAACTACATTATACGTGTTTTCTGTCGGACTATCTGCCCGGACTATGTGCATTGACCCCCCTTTGCACTAACTATTTTGACTCATCACATACGCTGCTGCTACTGCTTATTATATATCCTGTTGCCTAATCACTTCACCCCTACCCATATGTACATAAATTATCTACCTCAATTACCTCATACCCCTGCACATCGACTCGGTGCTGGTACCCTGTGTATATAGCCAAGTTATAGTTACTCATTGTGTATTTATTCCTCGTGTTATTATCTTGCTATTCTTTTTCTATTTTTCTCTCTGCATTGTTGGGAGGGGCCTGTAAGAAAGCGATTCACTGTTAGTCTACACCTGTTGTTTATAAAGCATGTGACAAATAAAATGCGATTTGATTTGAAATACATCGTTACAGTTGTTGGCTAGGTAGCTAGCGATTTTTTTGGACATATTAGCATAGACATGACATCAGTCAAAACACCTCAAAACAAGAAATTGTATCAATAACAAGATACAATTAGCTTTAACGAGCCACCTACGATTACCCCACATGGTAGTTTCTTGACATTGTTACTAGCTATCTGGCCGTTTAGAATAATAACAATGCACGACTTCCAGCCACATCGATGCGCGTGCTTCACTTTCGTGACGCTGTCAGTCAACCCGTCTATAGCAGTAAACAAATCATTCACTCAACATTAATTCCGGTTATTGACTATGGCGATATCGTCTATACCAGTGGTCGATCTTCAAGGCATTCCTAGTCGATCACCAAACATTTCTGTAGAAAAGCCAACGATAAAGGCTTGCGCTCCTTTTTTCTCTCTCCATGTTTCGCCTACTGCGCTGGCCAATCGGACAGCTCAAATCA